CTGTACAACGAGTGCGAGAAGGCCATCGCATGGCCCCGGCAGGTCCTGGAGGCGATTATCATGCTCGAGCCCAAGGGAGCCAGCCAGCCCTCGCACCACGCGGTCAGCACAGGCGGAGACAGAGCATTGGCACTACTCAGTTGGTTTGGCAGATGCTGGGAACTGCTCAAACGTGAGCAAGTACGAGACTGGGTTAAGGAGATCAAGATGCCGTGGGACGCCGCGGTGCCAGGACAGAGCTGCCTACGGGAGGCCATGCTCAGAATCATCGACGACGTCACCGCGGACGCCCTGGGAGCAACGACAGCAGGAGCCCTCATCGACATCGAGAGATTCTACGACAACGTCGAGTTCGAGCACACAGCTCGAGCGGCACAACACTACGATTTCCCAGCCCGCATCCTTGCCATGTCACTACTCCAGCACATGACGTCGAGGCTCCTTCGTCAAGAAGGATGCTACAGCGAGCGCACGCTGGCCAGCAAGTCCCTTTTGGCGGGCTCTAGACACAGCAACAACCTCGCACGGGGCCTGGTCTACGTCACGATCACGAAGCACCTGAACGAAGAGCCGATGTCCAACCCCAGAATCTGGTTCGACGACATCAGCCTCAGAGCCACAGGCAGCCAGGCGTCGGTGGAGAACGACATCGTGAACCAAGTTGCGCCCCTCAACGCCCAGCTGACGAAGAGCAACCTGAAGATGGCAGCGAAGTCGGTAGTCTTCGGCCCCACTAGCAAGAGCGCAGTGAACATCACCAAGAAGCTCGCCAAGCACAATATCAAGGTCAAGCCAGTCAAAGAGGGGCGGGACCTGGGGCTCGACAGAGGTGCGAAACTCACCACACCACGTGCGACACACAGGGCCAGAAAGATGAAGGCAGGGAAGAGGTTCAACAAGGTAGGCAAGAAACTGAGGCAGTTGAACACCAAGCAGATCAAGGGCATCGTGGAGCAAGGGGCGATGGCGTCGGTGCTCTACGGGTGCAAAACGTTTGGCAGTTCCCCGTCAGAAATCAAGCACATCAGAAGACAATATGGCAAGGCGCTCAGACTAACGTGGACGGGAAGATGCTTGAGTACTCTACTGGCGGTAGAAGGGAGCGACCCAGCACGAACGATACCACGCGCTCAAATCGCTACTTGGTTTGACTTATGGGCGAGACACCCTGAGATCCATGAAGTAGTTCACAGAGCCTGGCCGATCATCCGACGTAGAATGCTACAAGGCACACGCAAAGGAAGATGGAGGAAACGAAGGGGCATCATCGGCAGCTTGACCTTGCAGCTGACGGAGCTTGGTTGGGACCCCACAACACCGACGAGATGGACGGAGAGCAACGGAGATCAATGGGCCATGGAAGAAGGACACGAGGAAGACCCGACAGACGTCATCGACCACATCATGAAGGACGTAGATCGCAGCATCTGGGCAAAGGCAGCAAAGCACCACAACGGGAAGGGTCTTGAGCAGGGAGCGGACTTCACAGACGTCAGAAGGCAGATCAACAAGCTCAAGAAGAAAGGGAAGTACCAGGACTACGGAGCCCTACTTGTGGCGGTCTGTGGAGGTACCTGGACAGGAGCAAGAAGGGCAGAAGCATTCGGGACAGCAGGAACATGCAGGTGCGGGGCGCTGGACACAGACTACCACCGGATCTGGGAGAACTGCTACCAAAGCGACCACAAAGACTACAGGGCCACGGACCACCTGCTGGAGCGTGCCAAAGAAGGAGCGGAAGCACTGCCAGCACTATGGCTCAGAGGCATACCGCCCACAAGCTGGACCACGCCCGCAGCATGTTCAACGGAGGACGCGCTACATCTCCCCCTTCCGAAAGAAGAAGCAGACAGAATCAAGCTACACGGCAGCGAAGAACACCCGCTATGCGTATGCGGAGACGGCAGCGGAGGAGCTCAAGCAGACGACAGACGGCACAGAAGATGCGGATGGGGAGGGGCAGCAATCAACGTGCACAGCAACGCCATTGAGGAAGAACACAGCGGACCTCTGCCAGGGCCAAGACAAACCAACAACCGCGCGGAGATGTAAGCGATGATCGACGCCCTGGCACGCTCCACAGGAGACATCACGTTCTGGACCGACTCGGATGTGTTATGCAGAGGATGGCGCAAGCAAAGGTACCTGAGAAAGGCCTACATCGGGACGAACGGCCACCTATGGAAGAAGCTAGGGCAAGCCATCGAGTACAGAGGAACCGCACACATCAAAGTCAAGCACATCGAGAGCCACCTGGACTGGGAAGAGGCGAAGATGAAGCAGTACCCGAAAGCAGCGTGGGAAGGCAACAGAAGGGCTGACGCACTGGCAGGAAAAGCAGCGGACCAACACAGCATCCCCAAGAACGAGCAGGACAGCTACAACTGGGCCAACACGATTGGCTTCTTGATCCGCAGACGAATATGCCGAGCCACAACACAAGCCATAATGACGATGGATGAAAAGCAGCTTCGCCGCGAACAAAAGGCTAAAGAAAAAGAAGAAAGGCAAATCAAGGAGGACATCGAGAAGCTGGTCGAAAATTCCACACACAAGATTGAACGGAAGATGGACATGCAGCAAGTGCGCTGAATCGTGTGGAATACGGCCGCAACAAAAAGGTACTCTGGAAGAAAAAATGCATGGACGCATCAGGAGGAACGAGGTTCAAGCGGCACCAGATCATGGCAGGGGCGGCAGCAACTCACCCGACTCACGACATGCCACATGCAACGAGAGCGAGGAGATGGTTCTGCTGGTATTGTGCAGCAAGTGTGGCAAGGCCCGAGGCGAACACCACCCAGAGAATCAGCCACAAGCTGCAAGGACCGTGCGAAAGGAAAGCCTCAAAAGGAATGGAGCACAAGCTGAAGGCCTACCAGAACCAAGTGGAAAGTCATTGAAGTGGAGTCTACACAGGGGGCCCTCCGCCCCGCCTACTGGAACCAGTAGGCTAACTGGAGGGTTCGTAACCACGTTGCTGGATAGATCCCCTTGGGTGTCTAGGCACTGGTCACCTCCCCAGGAGGCAGACGGTACCCGACCCAAGGGTACACTTCCCCTGGGTGTCAAAGCACTGGTCACCTCCCCAGGAGGCAGACGGTACCCGGCCCAGGGGTCAGTCGCAGGTTTGCTGAATGACTCGCAGACGTTTGGATGTAGTTCGCAGTGAAAGGCTGAAGATCAGGAAAGGCTAAGACAAGAAAGAGAAGGTCGAGGGGCCAGAAGGGGCCGCCTCGTCACAAAGACAAAGTGTGAAGGTCAAGGTGCCAGAAGGGGGCAGCCTTGACGCAAAGACAAAAGAAGAGAAGGTCCGGGGCCCAGTTGGGGGCCGCCCGTCGCAAAGAAAGAGAGAAGGTCTGGGGGCCCAGAAGGGGGCCGCCCAGGCGCAAAGAAGAGAGAAGGTCTGGGGGCCCACAAGGGGCCGCCCAGGCGCAAAGCTCGGCCGCGGGCGCGCGGCGCACCCGCCGCGGGACCGCGCGGCGGGCGGACGGGACAGCGTCCCGACCGAACTCCCCGAACTCCTCGTCCTCCTCCTCCTCCTCCTCCTCCTCCTCCTCCTCCTCCTCCTCCTCCTCCTCCTCCTCGCCGCCATCGAGGACGTCTGCGGGCATCCTGCGGTCGGCCGCCGCCGCCGCGGCGGCACTGCGCACAGACGGTGCGCACTCAGGTGTCTGTAGGGAACCGAGCTCTATAGACACCGACGCTTGTCTGTCCAGCCCTGCACTGAAACCTGCAGACAAGACAGCGGACCCTGGTGCATCCGGGACCCTGGTGTATACATGCTTCTCTGCTTCCCCCGAAAACAAATAACAAATATAACAGTATACACCGCACCACCCCGACTTCGTCCCCGACCCCGTAACAAATCCGGGGATTGCAAAACAGCCCGCCGCTGGTCGTGCATATGTTCCAGTCATCCGAGTCTGCGGCTGCTTCGCGGCGGGGCCGCGAGGCAACCACGGAACCAGGGGCCACAGGGGCTGATGAGCACGGATCGGAGGGAGGAGCGGACAAGGGAAGCACGCCGTCGGTGGCAGCAGCAGCAGCAGCAGCAGCAGCATTAGCACTGGCAGTGGGCGCACCTTTGACGAACGAGCTCTCCCCGCGAGAGGGGGATGGGAAGGAGGAATAGAAGGTGGAACGGGGACGTGGATGCGGTTTTGAACGCCGCTCCACGTGTGTTTTGCCTTTTTCTGCGAGAGGCAAGATGACGAAGACAAGGACCTCGCTTCTTGGCATCTCGCAGCCCCGACGCCACACAGCCGTGGGCACCGTGGAACTGGAATCTCGCAGTCGGGGCTCTGCTGGGCATACGTACCACTGCCGAGGATGGACAAGAGGCACCACTCGGTCCCACATCTCCCAGGAATGTACCGTGGCGGTGTGATCGGAGGAGGAGGAGGAGGAGGAGGAGGAGGAGGAGGAGGAAGAGGAAGAGAAGGAAGAAGAGGAGGGAGGAGGGAGGAAGAAGAGGGAGCAAGAGCAAGAGCGAGGAGGAGAGGAGAGGAGAGGAGAGGAGAGGAGAGGAGAGGAGAAGGGGGAGGAGGTAGAGGAGGCATGATGATGAGGAATGTCCTACCGCGCAGAAGACAAGCCACGAGCATCCGCGATCAGCACACCTGAGATCACGCTCTTCCTATGTCCTTCTCCCACCCCTTCATCCTGCTCCTCTCACCCCCCCTCCCCCTCACCCTCCTCCCCCTCCCCTTCCTCCTCCGCCTCCTCCTTCTCCTCCTCCTCCAGAAGAGCAGAATCTTCATCGGGGCCCAACCTTCCCCACAAACATCCTCCTCCTTCTCCGCCCAGCTCTCTCTGGAGGTCTCCGAAGTCCCCGGAGGCCTCGGGAGGGCCTTGGGGTGCCCGCAGGAAGCCAGACACGTCCAAAAAACCTCGGTCCATCTCCTCCTCCGACCTCCCCAGTCAGTGCTCAGCATCTTCGGCTTCCAGCCGAATGGCCTCTGCACCGACCCCGAGCGCGGCCACGCTGGGGCCCCCGCATTCCCCGCCTTGATCTTCTGGACGGCGGCGAGGGCCGTGACCTCGCCGTCGTTGATCACTTTCAGGGGGACGCCGGGAGCCATGGCCTCGGGCGAGGCGAAGGGAGGAAACGAAGAGAGGAAGAGGAGAAACAGAGAGGAAGCGAAGGGAGGAAGCGAAGGGAGGAAGCGAAGGGAGGAAGCGAAGGGAGAAAGCGAAGGAAGTGAGCGAAGGGAGGGAGCGAAGGGAGGGAGCGAAGGGAGGGAGGAAGCGATGGGAGGGAGCGAATAGAGGGGGAAAGCGAAGGGAAGCAGCATCAGCTGAAGTAGAGGAGAAGTGGACGGGGGCAGGGGGGGGCGTTGATCACTTTCGGGGGGGGCGCCGGGAGCCATGGCCGCGGGCGAGGCGAGAGGAGGAAGCGGCGGGAGGAGGAGGAGGAGGAGGAGGAGGAGGAGGAGGAGGAGGAGGAGGAGGAGGAGGAGGAGGGGGAGAAGGAGGAGGAGGAGGAGTGGGAGAAGGAAGGAGGAGGAGGAGGAGGAGGAGGAGGAGGAGGAGCAGGAGGAGGAGGAGAGGAGAGGGAGTGGAGGAGGAGTAGAGGGGGGGAGCAGGATGAGGGGGAGGAGGTGCAGGGGGGCGCGCAGAAGAAACCTATGAGCACAGACCACAGACGTTTCTACCCGATAACTGCCCTCACAACATCCCCCCGAATGTCGCCAAGGCCTCTGGAACACGAACCAAGCGCAGTGGCGGGATGGGCCGAGGACCACTAGATTTCCCCCTCGCATGAAAGCCGCCACTGCCCCTTGCCCCTGTCTCCATTCCACATCTTGCACCCAAGCTGTTCACTTTAAACAGTGAAGCGGATGAAGCGGTGGAGGGAAGCAGGTTTAAGAGGAGGCGAAGGTGGTCTGGCCAGAATCTCACCCCCTTCCTCCTCCTCATTCCCCTCTGGCGTGAAGCTGCACATGCGCATGATTAGATTACCCATGTTTGCGTCGACCGAACCTTGTACGCCCGACGCAACGCCAGAGGGTGGAGAAAACAAGCACAGCTCAGTGACTAAACATCGAAAAGACCGCTGCCTCGGCGAGCCTGTTGAAGATGTTCACCACCTTCGCCTGTTGGGGAAGACCAGCTGCAAGCAGCTGCACTATATAAGAGCAGCTATGAATCCTCGTTCCTGTCAGATGCCCTTGGCCCTTTCGCTCTCTCCAGCTTCTGTACCTCCCCACATGTGTGCGTTGAGATCGTAGACGAGAACGTCCGAAACTCCAATCCGCAAGCCTCCAAAATGCTACCGCCACACATTCTAATACGTCAAAGTTGCCCGCATGTTCAATTACGTGAGCGTTTTCTCAGTCGGCGCTTCGACATTGGGCGGAAGGGGGGCGTATGAGGGAGGGGTGGCAGACCTCTGCTTAATGCAATTGTTTGCAACAGTGCGTCCTATGGGGGAGACCCCACCTGCTCGAAACAGGCGCCAAAAACAGCCAAGCTCTACTCCATAGGGGGGGAGGGGGGGACGAGGGCCCGCGCCGATCGGCAAAACTATGGTTAAGAAGACGATCGCTACACTGACAAGCAAGCATGGTCGGTCGCACTGACACGCAGGCACAGAAACGCATAGAGACACGAACACGCTCACGCACACATGTAGACACCCTCTCTGAGTTTGCTCGGCGGTCGCGTGCGAACAGCGTCGCGGCGAGAAACCCCACTTGCCCGACGCACGAAAAGGGGAAAAGACGGCTGTTTCACCGCAGCGGTAACAACACGCACAAGCACACACACACACACTCGGCGGTGGGCGAGGGGGGGAATTGAGAAGGAGAAGGCCTCTCAGAAGGCGGCGGGACTTCTCAGAAGCCCTCGCGCCTTCTGAGAAGTTTTCTGTGCCATCGGAGAAGGCTTAAGAAGCCTCTCAGAAGGCCCGGGGACTTCCGAGCCTTCTCAGAAGGCCCGCCCTTTCTTACTTTTCCCCTGGGCTCGCCGCCGACACACACACACACACAAACCAACAAACTTCCCAAGCGAGGGCGGTATTAATCATTGGACACAGAGCCGTCCAGCTCGGGCAGGCACCGCGCGCTCACAACGCATCCTCGAACGAAGGCGAGTAACTTGAGAGCACTCACGGAACCCAAATTCTGCGGCGGCGCCCCGCGCAGCGACGAGGCGGCAACCCGCGGCACGAGTCTGGACCAGAGACGCCGCAAATGGCATGGGAAACAGGGAGCCCCGCGCGCGGCCTGAAGGAAAAAGACACACACACACACACACACACACTTCGGCCCCCACGAACCCGCAGACGAGGCGCGTGAAAAAAAACGTCACGCGAACGGAATTGGGTTGTTGTTGGCTGGCCGGGAAGCCACGGCGAAGGAGCGCTTCGCGCTTATACGCTCACCATCGAGAGTCAGACGGCTACGGCGCGACGGAGGAACACAGTGTGAGATTGTGTTCCTCCGACGCGCGGCTGAGTCCGAACCACGGAAGCATACACCGCGAGCACTGTGAGCGGGTTGTGGGCGAGCCGTCAGCGGAGGCGATATCGCGCGGCGAGTCGCGGATGGGTCGTGGGGCAGGTCACGGGCGGGTCTCGGGGCGAGACGCGGGTGAGTCTCGGACGAGTCACGGGTGGGTCGCGGGGCGTAGCGCGAGGCGGGTCGGGGTGGGTGACGGGACAAATCGCGGATGGGTCGCGGGGCGGAGGCCTGCAACAAGAGCATGAATCCACACTGCGGAACCGCACTTCAGCCACTCACGCAGGAAGTGTAAGACAGCTCGGCCGCCGCAAAAAAAAATATGAATATATACATAAATGAATATCTGTATTTATATATATATATATACATACAAGACTGCATTGGCGCTCCGCGCCATACACTTTGGTCTTTCAGGCTTGGCACGCAGGCAGGGAGACAATAAGGTACAACGGACCCTTTAGCGACAACTCGTTGTTGCCATTTATGGCATCGTCGCTGCAATAGTGTTATAGGTTATTCGGTATCACTCCCTCATGCTTTCTCTTCCTCTTCCTCATTCCTACCCTACTTTGCGAACTCGCCATCCGCGGCTATTCTTTTGGAGGCTCATCCTAGGAGAGCCTCTTGTAAGTTCCACGAAGGTTTTTACCTAACAGCGAAGACTGATAGGTTTCTAGTGGGATCAAAAGAGAGCAGCAGATCACTCCACAGGGGGGTCCGGGCAGGTGTTGGGAGTTGCCGGGCGGCAGGTGCCGGGCTCGTTTTTCACCAACAGTCACACACTTCGTGCTCTTCGACTTCCCAGAACTCCATTCCCAGGCCACATTCTCAATACCCGGATGCAACAGTCACACACTTCGTGCTCTTCGAGATCCCAGAACAGCCATTCCCGGGCCACATTCTGGAGGGCCGGATGCAACAGTCACACACTTCGTGCTCTTCGAGTTCCCAGAACTCCATTCCCGGGCCACATTCTGGAGGGCCGGATGCAACAGTCACACACTTCGTGCTCTTCGAGTTCCCAGAACGCCATTCCCGGGCCACATTCTGGAGGGCCGGATGCAACAGTCACACACTTCGTGCTCTTCGAGTTCCCAGAATTCCATTCCCGGGCATTTTGGATGCCCGGAGCCAACTGTAGGCCACTTCGTGCTCTTCGAGTTCCCAGAACTCCATTCCCGGGCCACATTTTGAATGCCCGGAGCCAACTGTAGGCCACTTCGTGCTCTTCGAGTTCCCAGAACTCCATTCCCGGGCCACATTTTGAATGCCCGTAGCCAACTGTAGGCAACTTCGTGCTCTTCGACTTCCCAGAACTCCCATTCCTGGGCCACATTTTCAGCAGGGGCAAGAGCACGACGAGGAGGAGGACGAGCAAGACCAGGAGGACGAGGACGAGCAGGAGCAGGACGAGGAGCAGGAGGAGCAGGAGAAGAAGGACGAGCAGGAGGAGGAGGAGGACGAGCAGGAGGAGGAGGACGACCAGGAGGAGGAGGACGACCAGGAAGAGGAGGAGGAGGAGGAGGAGGGGAGGGGGAGGAGTACCAGGAGGAGGAGGAGGAGGAGGAGGAGGAGGAGGAGGAGGAGGAGGAGGAAGAGGAGGAGGAGGAGGAGGAGGACGAGGACGAGGAGGAGGAGGAGGAGGGGGGGGAGAGTACCAGGAGGAGGAGAACGAGGACCACCAGGAGGAGGAGGAGGAGGAGGAGGAGGAGGAGGAGGAGGAGGAGAGAACACCAGGAGGAGGAGGACGAGCAAGACGAGGAGGACGAGAACGAGGACGACCAGGAAGAGGAGGAGGAGGAGGAGGGGAGGGGGAGGACTACCAGGAGGAGGAGGAGGAGGAGGAGGAGGAGGAGGAGGAGGAAGAGGAGGAGGAGGACGAGGAGGAGGAGGAGGAGGACGAGGAGGAGGAGGGGGGGGGAGAGCACCAGGAGGAGGAGAACGAGGACCACCAGGAGGAGGAGGAGGAGGAGGAGGAGGAGGAGGAGGAGGAGAGAGCACCAGGAGGAGGAGGACGAGCAAGACGAGGAGGACGAGAACGAGGACGAGCAGGAGGAAGAGGAGGAGGAGGAGGAGGAGGAGGAGCAGGAGAAAGAGGAGGAGGAGGAGGAGGAGGAGGAGGCAGGCTGAGGCTGAGGCTGTGACTGCGACTGCCGTTGCCGCTGCGACTGTCATCGCGAATGCGACTACGACTGCGCGAACAGCAGAATTCGACAACTGGATTTTCATCTGAATCTTAAGGGGAATGCTTTCAGATATGCTTCTACACATCGCTGTTAGGTTGCTTTGCCGGGATAATTATAATGGCTCGTTGCGGCCTTCTGGAAGCCTCCTGGGTTCCTCCTGGGGGCCACTGGGGGCTTCCCCGGCCCACCCTGCTTCCGACCGCGGTCGCCCTGAACGACTGGGTCACGATTTGGAATGACTCGGGCGGCGTCTTAGGGCCATCTAAGGCCGTCATGGGGCTCTCGTCGGGGCAGCTTGGGGCCCTGTTGGGCCGTCTTGGGGCTCCTCTTGGACTGCCTGGAAGCCCTCTTGATTAGATCTGGGGCGATGCTCTGGCCTCCCAGGCAGTCTCGGACGCCCGGAAGACCGAAGAACTGGGCATTCCCAAAATCATGCAGAAACCATCGGGAATCCATATTTTGTGCGTTTCGAATGCCTCTTGGGGGTCTTCTTTGAGTCGACTTCGAACGTCTGGTGGGTGTCTGGGGCCTCTGTGGGCTCTCGCGGGGCCGTCCGGCCGCCCTCCTGACCGATTTGGGCCAGCTGCCTAGGCCCAGCAAAGGCTTTAGGAGCCCCGGAAAGCACAGGGGACCGACTGTAAGGGCGTCCAGGGTGCCCCCGGGGCCAAGGATCCAGAGGGGTCCCGTTTGGGGGGGGGGGTCGCAGGGTCCCAGATTATGAAAATACAGAAAGGGAATATGTGTATCTGCCACGCGCGAATGCTGGCTGCACGCCAGGCAGGGGAGGACACGTTAGCCTGCAAAAAAACAATAAAATTAGGTCAGACATGTCCTCCTACAGTCAGATCTCGAAAAGAAAATAAAACATAGCAAACAAATAAATCACAAATCGTCAAAATGAGCACGACAAATCGTCAACAGACTTTGTTTTGACTAGTATTGAATATTCTTCCTTGTCTTGACTATTTTTGAGTTTTGCCCGATTTCATCGTAGAAGTGGAAGTGGAGGATTGAGGAGCACGAGATGTCTGGATGCCGCAGCAGGTCAGTGATCGAACTTCGAAGGGCGAAGGCTGAACCGGATGTCCTGGCCCGCAACGACCGTGCACGGGAGCACAAGCATAGGGAGGAGGACGACGAGGAGGACGAGGAGGAGGAGGAGGAGAAGGAGGAGAAGGAGGAGGACGACGACGACCACGAGGACGACGACGACGACGACGACGACGACGACGACGACAACGACGAGGACGAAGGAGGAGGACGACGACAACGAGGACGAAGGAGGAGAACGAAGGAGAGGAGGAGGACGACGACAACGGCGAGGACGACAGACGGGATTCGGAGGAGAGAGGGCGCGGGGGCGGAGCTGTCGCGGCCGCGAGGCCCCGCTCCGACCGGGCGCCCCGCGCCTTGGAGCGGGAAGGCCTTCTCCTCCTCCTCCTCCTCCTCCTCCTCCTCCCCCTCCTCCTCCTCCTCCTCCTCCTCCTCCTCCCCCTCCTCCTCCTCCTCCTCCTCCTCCTCCTCCTCCTCCTCCCCCTCCTCCCCCTCCTCCTCCTCCTCCTCCTCCTCCTCCTCCTCCTGCCAGCCTTGTAGACGTCAGGGGGGACGTTGGGGAAGATGTCGCACCAGGTGGCCTCGTTGGCGCCGGAGATGGTACCGGTGGCGCTGCCGCCGATGGCCTCGCCAGGGCTGCAGCGGAGGCCAGTCCACGAGAGCCCTTCCACAAGAACCAACCCTCCCCCTCCTCCTCCTCCCCCTCCCCCTCCCCCTCCCCCTCCTCCTCCTCCTCCTCCTGCTCCTGCTCCTCCTCCGCCTCCTCCTCCTCCTCCCCTCCCCCTCCTCCTCCTCCTCCTCCTCCTCCTCCTCCTCCTCCTCCTCTCCTCCTCCCCTCCCCCTCCCCCATCCTCCTCTCCTCCTCCTCCTCCTCCTCCTCCTCCTCCTCCTCCTCCTCCTCCTCCTCCTCCTCCTCCTCCTCCTCCTCCTAGTAGGAGAGCACGACCACGAAAAACCTTCCACAAGAAGCCCAACCCTGAGACCCCAGGACGTCCATGGAGTTTTGGTGTGGGAATGTCGCGCTCTCCATAGCAGAACCATCGAAACCCAAGAAACCCAAGGCACCCTGGAAGCAAGCAGGGTGCTTCTCGGCATGGGCCCCCACTGTATAGAGGACACACGCTGCTGCTGGACGCCTCTGCCGCCTGCTGGGCTTCTGGGGGCTTCCGGGGGAGGCGGGGGCCCTGGTTCGCCGCCGCCCGCCCCGGCCCTGTTCGCCGCCACCCGCCTCGGCCCTGTTCGCCGCAGCCGTCGTCGCCCGAGACCTGCTCGCCGCCTCCCTGTTCGCCGCCGTCGTCGTCCTCGTTCTCGTCGTCGTCGCCGTCGCTGCCTTCGTCTCGTCGATGTCTCGTCGTCGCCGTCGTCGTCGCCGCCGTCGTCGTCGTCCCGCCCGCCCGACCCGACCCGCCCGTTAGGGTCCGCCCGCCCGACCCGACCCGCCGATTACGGTTCACGCGTGCTCGCTCTCGTGTACGCCCCAAACTTTCATGTCCCGCCCGCGCGGCGCTGGCGACAACGGCGACGGGGACGGGGACGGCGACGGCGACGACGGCGACGGAAACGGCGGCGGAGACGGCGTTGGCGGGCGCGGCCGGAGAAGAAGGTCCCCCGCAAACAGGGTCCCGGCGAACCAGGATTCGGCGAACAGGGTCCACGCCCCAGGGGACACCCACGGGAGACAGCTGGGCTCTCCTGAGCCAGCCTGGGTAAGGTCCTCCCCACCCACCTCTCCACCCCTCTTGTCCTCCTCCCTCCTTCTCCCTCCCCAGTTCTCCTTCCACATGTTCCTCCCGTCCTCCCCCCCCGCTCGCCGTCCTTGCTGTTGTCAAGGAACGACGGGACCAGTCTACGAAGCAGCGACTTGCCAGGGTGGACCGGGCATTCACACGTCTGGCTATGGGCCGGGACACCCCCTGCTCCCGGTCAGCATACCCTGGTGAACACTCGAGTCCCGATCGCTGCCCACAGAGGCACACTGAGGAGGAGGAAGAATGGGAGGAATAGGAGGCCAAAGGAGGATAGAAAGGAGGAGGAGGAAAAGGAGCAAGAGGGGAAGGCAGGGGGGAGAAGGAGGAGGAGGAGGAGGAAGGAGACTCATCCCACTCTCCTTGAAGACCTGACACGGAGGATCCCTGGAGCGAGCTTCAGGCTAGTCTCGAAGCCGAGGACCGAGCTGGAGGGTGGTGACGAGGATACTCCTTTCTGCTCCTCCTCCTCCTGCTCCTCCTCGTCCTCGTCCTCCTCCTCCTCCTCCTCCTCGTCCTCCGCCTCCTCCTCCTCCTCCTCCTCGTCCGCCTCCGCCTCCTCGCTTCCTCCACCATTCCTTGTCCTTCTGACACGCGTCAGTAGGGTGGGCTGTGCGTTTCGACGGAGACTTTCTTCCCACCTGTGACAGCCACACGGATGAAGGGGAGGGGCAAAATGTGGCTCTCGCCTCAGCTGGCGCCGCGCACATTCGGCGTAGATGCTTCCGACAGCACGGATGGAGGGCGGTCTCTCTTCAAAATGTGGCTCTCGCCGTAGCTCCGCGCACGTTTGCACTATTGGTGTCCGTAGCTTCACAGGAGGAGGAGGAGGAGGAGGAGGAGGAGGAGGAGGAGGAGGACGAGGAAGACGAGGAAGACGAGGAGGAGGAGGAGGAGGAGGAGGAGGAGGAGGAAGAGGAGGAGGAGGAGGAGGAGGAGGAGGGAAGCACTGTTCTCAAGGCAGGGCCTTCGCTGGACACGTCCAGTGGACTGGAAGGGTCCTGCGTCGTCGCCGCCCTGCTATAGCTAGAGGCACGGACGGCCTGCGAAGCGGGGCAAGCGCCCGAATCGCCGGACCAGGGGGCCGCTCGTCGTTCCAGGGGGGGAGGGGGGGCGCGTCCCGCGCGGAAGATGTGTTTTCTGTCGGGGCGTACGACGAAGGGGGGCCGCTCGTCGTTCTGAGGGGGGAGGGGGGGCGCGTCCCGCGCGGAAGGTGTGTTTCCTGTGGGGGCGTACGACGAAGGGGACGTGGGACAAGTGGGCACAGCGTTGCTGATAGTTGCTGGTGCATCTTGGGCGTAGTCCTCCTCCTCCTCCTCCTCCTCCTCCTCCTCATCATCATCATCATCATCATCATCACCACCACCACCGCCACTACCATCGTCACCACCACCACCAGGGACATCACCATCACCATCCTCATCATCATGATCATCATCAGCATCATCATCATCATCAGCATCAGCATCATCATCATCATCATCATCATCATCATCATCATCATCATCATCATCATCATCATCATCATCATCATCATCACCATCACCATCAGCATCATCAGCAGCAGCCGCATCATCGTCATCGTCATCACCACCACCATCACCATCTCCATCACCATCATCATCATCATCATCAGCAGCAGCAGCAGCAGCATCAGCATCAGCATCAGCATCATCATCACCATCAGCATCGTGATCAACAGCATCATCGTTGTAGTCGTCGTCGTCGTCATCATCAGCACCATCATTATCATCATCGTCACCGTCACCATCAGCATCACCATCAGCATCATTACCACCATCATCATCACCATCATCATCGTCGTCATCACCACCACCATCACCATCACAATCACCATCACCGTCATCATCATCATCATCACCACCATCACCATCATCAATATTACCATCACCATCACCACCACCATATTCACCATCACCACCATCACCATCACCATCATCATCAACCATCACCACCAGCATCATCACCACCTTCATCACCACCATCTTCATCGTCGTCACCACCACCACCATCACCATCACCCTCATCATCACCACCAGCATCGTCATCACCATCCTGATCGTCATCATCATCATCATCATCATCATCATCATCATCATCATCATCATCATCGTCATCATCAGCAGCAGCAGCAGCATCATCAGCATCACCATCACCATCAGTATCATTATCACAACCACCACCTCCGTCATCATCAGCATCGCCGCCATGCCCCCCCCCCACGCGTCTCCCCCCAGGACGGGAGGGAAGGACGGCGAGGGGCAGCCGGCCCCCACCCCGAGGGGGCCGCGCCTCGATCTTCGGCAGCTTGGCCGCCGTCTCCTTCATGGCCTGGGCCCGCGAGCCGCTGCGAGCGGGGAGCGGGGAGGACAGGGCGGGGAGCGGGGAAGCCCGCAGCGGCGAGGAGTGAGAGGGAGCGCGGGAGGGGAGGGAGAGAGGAGAGGGGCACGAGGGAGGGGGCGGGGGGGGGAAGGAAGGGCGGGAAGGGGAGGGGGGGAACGAAGGGAGCGAGGGGAGCGAAGGAGGGAAAGGGAGGGAGGATGGGCTGATCGGCCTGTGACCAGAGATCGCGGAGCAGGGGGCGGGGAGCGGGAAGCAGAGAGGGAAGAGGGCTAAGAGGGCATCACATGGGGAAGGACAGTGGCGACGACGGGAAGGGGACGGGGAAGAATGGAGAAAGAGGGGGGAAGGGAGACGGGGGAGCAAGGAAAAGCCCCAAGGACTGCCTGGAAGCCCCCGAGAGAGCTCGAAGGGGGTACCCGCCCGCGCCAGTGCTCGCCATGTCACCAAGTTTAGGTCGGGCATGTCCCCCAAAAGGCGGATTTTGGATGAAAAATCAGACGTTCTCAAAAAGCACTCAAACGTAATCAAACAAAAAATAGAAGAATCGTCCCCCTTCCTATCTTTTGACTATTGTTTGATACTCCTACTGTAGAGGGACATGCCCGACTTAACACTAAGTGCGGTGAACGATTCTGGCACTCCAGGTGCGGGAGGTCTTCTGCCTGCGGCGGTCTTGAGTTTTTTCTGCTTCGGACTGCGTCTGCGATGTGAGAGAGAGAGAGAGAGAGAGAGAGAGAAAAAAAAAAAAAAAAAAGAGAGAGAGAGATATATATAGAGAGAGGGAGAGAGAGAGAGAGAGAGAGCGTGATCCACCGCCGCTGTACTGTGGAAAATTCCCCCCCCTCTTCCTCCGAACCCGGGGCCCCCCCCCCTTTCGAAGACCCTCCCCCTGCTGGACCCCCCGCCACCCCTCCCCCCCCTTCCCCCGGCAAAACCCACCCGCCTATCCCCTGCCCCCCCCCCCTCCGGAAAACCGGGGGGGGCACTACCGGTTCGAACCCCACCTCCCCCCCTCCAGAAATCCAGGGGGGGTCACTGCCGGTTCGAACCCCACTGTCCCCACCACTGTTCCCACCACGGTCCCACTCTCCCCACTTTCCCCATGCTCCCACCCACTGTCCCACTGTCCCCACTGTCCCCACTGTCCCACTGTCCCACTGTCCCCGCCGCTGTCCCACACCCTGTCCCACTGTTCCCACCACTCTCCCCACTGTCCCCACCACTCTCCCCACTGTACCCCTGTCCCATTGTCCCACCACCGTCCTCACCACCGCCCCCACCACTGTCCCCACCACCACCGTCCCCACCACTGTCATACTGTCCCCACTGTCCCCACCACTGTCCCACTGTCCCCTCACACCTGTCCCCACCACCACCGTCGCCACCACTGTCCGACGGTCCCCACCACTGTCCCACTGTCACTGTTCCCACCATGGTCCCCGCTGTCCCCATCAGTGCCCCCACCAGTGTCTCACTGTCCCCACCATCCCACCACGGTCCCACTCTCCCCATTGTCCCCACTGTCCCCACCGCTGTCCCCACCGCTGTCCCCACCGCTGTCCCCACTGTTCCCACCTCTCTCCCACTGTCCCCACTGTCCCCGCCGCTGTCCCACTGAGCTGCCCCACTGTCCCCACTGTCCCCACCACTGTCCCACTGTCCCCACTGTCCCCACCACTGTCCCCACTGTACCACTGTCCCACCACCGTCCCCACCACCGCCTTCACCACTGTCCCTACCACTACCGCCCCCACCACTGCCCCACTGTCCCCACTGTCCCCACTGTCCCCTCACCACTGTCCCCATCACCACCGTCCCCACCACTGTCCAACTGTCCCCACCTTTGTCCCACTGTCCCCACACCACTGTCCCCACCACCACCGTCCTCACCACTGTCCCAGTGTCCCCACCACTGTCCCACTGTCTCGAGGAGCGGTAATCGTTTACCGGCGACGAGGGGGGGGGTTCGAACGGGTAGTAACCCCCCCTCTTTTAATGACGGCCGGGGGCCGGTAGTGACCCCCCCCTGGTTTTCGAATGGGGTGGGACGGGTTGGCAACCCCCAGTGACCCCCCCTGGTTTTTCCGCCAGCAGCAGTAGAACACGCTCCTGCCGATGTGACCCAAAATTGCCCTCAAGGTGTTGTCGTCTCTACTCCAGGGCACGTGGCTGTTTGCAGGGAGACCCTCACCGAGTCCCACCGCTTGGGCTTCTGGGACCGTTTTGGCACGTATGTTTTGCCATCACTGCGGGCGTACAGCCACTGTGGGCGGGCGGCAGCTTGCTGCTGAGTGCTCAACTCAAACCCTTCTAAGAAGGACCGCGAGAACCTCGCCCGCATCTCGCATGGTAAGTTTCCCACCTGCGCAGGTACTCCTAAGACGGGCCTGGCTGCGAGGGTGGAGCGAGAGGTGGCGTCGGCCAGCCGTTCGGCTGGCTAACCTTCTCCTCCCTCCTCCCTTTTTTTATCCTTCCCCGCACGCTGTTATGTTTCTCTCTCTTTCTCTTTCTCTCTCTCTCTTTCTCTCTCTCTCTCTCTCTCGCCCTATCAGCGAGATCGGCAGGCAGAGACAGGGGGCAGACAGACGGGATCCATCTTGTTTGTCTCTGACTTGCTGAAGCAATCACCAAAACAGACAAGGCCAAGACGAGGGAGAGCGAGACCGCAGGACCAGTCGCCCGCAAAGGCGGGGGAGGGGGATCGCTTCTGATTTTTCGGTGACAACTCGGGATATCTGGTGGTGGGGGCAACTTCGCGCCCTGGATGCGGTTCTGATGGTCCTCGGGCTCGACAGCGGCTCCCGGAGGCCGAGATCGAGGAAATTCAAAAATCGTATCGTCGGATATCTGGGCTCGCATCATCCAGCCCCACGTACACTAGGGGCTCGACCACAAGAAACCTTCCACACAAAAAAACCCAAACCTGAGACCCCAGGACGTCCATTGATTTCTAGTGTGGGGCATCACGCTTTCGCTAGAAAAAACCATCGAAACCCTAGAAACCCAGGGCATCCTGGAGGCAAGCAGGGTGTTTCTTGGCATGGGTCTCCACTGTATGCCCGCGCGCACCAATACCGCGTGCCCCCCCCGAACCTGCGTAACTGACAAACGGTCAAGTCATCCAGAGTGGCGGAGGAGGCGGTCGGGCCCGATGATAACCCGGGTTCTCGCCGGGGCCACGAAGAAAGCGGTCTCGTGGGAAGGGAGGGGAAGGGAGGGGAAAGGCAGGGGGAGGGGCCACGAAGAAGCGGCCTCGACGCGAAGGGAGGGACGAAGAGGGGGAGGGAGGCGAGGGGAGGGGAGGGGAGGGGAGGGGAGGGGAGGGGAGGGGGCCACGGAGAAGCAGCCTCGAGGCGAAGCGAGGGGGGCAAGGGGGAGGGGGGGCCGCGAGAGGAGGGGCGGCAGGGCGGGCCGGGCCCCGGCCCCCCGAGGGCGCCCCGCCCCTCGGGGCCTTGAGGATCGCGTCGAAGTGGTAGTCCGGGTCCGGGTTGGTCACGTCCCACTCCGTCTCCTGCGCGGCGAGGAGTTGGAGGCCTGGAAAGGAGCACCGACACCAGAACAAGGGGGTTGCCTCCACATGGGGAATCCTAGATTTCGGCGTTGGCGGTGATGTTTCGGTCACGTGGGAAGCCAGAGTATGACCACCATCACCGAGATCGGGATCGTTTCCTGCGCGGCGAAAGTTCACTCACTCATGCCATACGCCGGAGCGCGTAGGCGAAAGAAGACAAGGCCAGCCGATTCTCGCCGCTTCGCGGGAGCGGCGGCGCTGCGGCGGTCGCATGAAGCACAACGTGCGCGGCAGCAGGAGGAGGAGCAGGAGGAAGGGGGGAAGACAACCACCCGGCGAATGATACGGACTTTGCTTGGAACGTATCCGGCCGAAGGCTGCAGAAAGGACGCCAAGGCGCCGGGCATCACATGCAAGGTATGTAAACAAAAAATATGGAGGCCTGGAAATGGGCACCAACACCAGCACAGGGATTGCCTCCACATGGGGAAGACGATCCTGGATTTCGGAGCTGGTGGTAATATGTGAGAGAGCGTGATCCACCGCCGCTTTACTGTGGAAAATTGCCAACCTTTTCCTCCGGAACCCGGGGATCTCCCCCCCCCCCCCCCCCCCCCCTCCGAAAATCCCCCCCCCCCCTGCCGGAACCCCCTCCCCCCCCCCCCCCCCCCCCCCCCCCCCCCCCCCCCCCCTCCCCCCCCCCCTCCCTCCGGCAAAAACCCCCCCCCTCCCCTAACCCCCCCCCCCCCTCCCCCTCGAAAACCGGGGGGGGTCACTACCGGTTCGAACCCCTCCCCCCCCCCCCCTCCGGATCCGGAAAATGGGGGGGGTCACTACCGGTTGGAAACCCCCCCCCCCTCGAAAACCGGAGGGGGGTCACTACCGGTTCGACCCCCCCCCCACGCACCGCCAGCAAACGACTCCCGGTCCCTACCACCGCTCGCATCACATCCCCACTGTTGTTCCCAGCACCACTGTCCTCACCACCACTGTCCCCACTGGTTCCACCACCGTCCCTATTGTCCCCACCAATGCCCCCACCACTGTCGCACTGTCCCCACTGTTCCCACAACTGTTCCCACCACGGTTCCACTCTCCCCACTGTCTCCACGGACCCAACCACTGCCTATCCCCATTGTCCCCACTGTCCCACTGACTCCTCCGCTGTCCCACTGAGCTGTCCCACTGTTTCCACCACTGTCCCCACTGTCCCCACCACTGTCCCCACTGTACCTCTGTCCCATTGTCCCACCGCCGTCCTCGCCACCGCCTTTACCAGTGTCTCCACCACCATTGTACCCTCCACTGTCCCAGTGTTTCCATCTCATTCCCACTGTCCCCACACCAGTCCCCACCACCACCGTTCCCACCACTGTCCACTGTCCCCCCTGTTCCCACCATTGTCCCCACCACTGTCCCCACCACTACCGTCCCCACCACTGTCCCACTGTCCCCACCACTGTCCCGCTGTCCCCTCACCACTGTCCCCACCAACACCGTCCCCACCACTGTCCGCACCCCCACTCGGTTTTCGAGGGGGGGGGGGGTTCGAACCGGTAGTGACCCCCCCCCCTTTTCATGATGAGCTGGGGGGGGGGGGGAGGGGTTCGAACCGGTAGTGACCCCCCCCGGTTTTCCGGAGGGGGGGGGGGGGAGGGGTTCGAACCGGTAGTGACCCCCCCCTGTTTTCCGCCAGCAGCGGTAGAACACGCTCTTTCTAATATGTCGGTCACCTGGGAAGCCAGAACATGACCACCAGCACCGAGATCGGGGTCGTCTTCCCTCGGTGGAGGCACACCGACGATCTTGGTGGTGTCAACCTCCAGGCCTGCGGAAAGGGTCGGCGGCGGGCGAGAGGGGGGGGGACCCTCGAGGCTCGAGCCTCGGAGTCGAGGCTCGAGGCGGTTCGTCGTCGCTCTTGCGGCCTCTGGGGGCCGTCTTCGGGCCGCGGGGCCCCAGGAGCTCGACCCGGGGCGGAAAACCGCGTCGGATGGGCCCCGAGAGGGGTCCGAGGGCCGACGGATTCTGACCGATAGTCGGCGGCACGCCCAAGGGTGGGAGTGAGGAGGAGGAAGGCCTTCTCGGAAGGCGGCGGGACAGCTGTTCCCGTCGTCGGGGAAGGCTCGGGAAGATTCTCAAACGGCCAGGGGACTTCCGAGCCTTCTGAGAAGGCCCGCCCCTTCTCACTTCCCCCCCTCGCTCGCCGCCGAGAAGAGTGTGAAAGGCATCGCGTCCGCTCCTCCCCTCGGCTACACGCAAGAGTGACCCCGACGCGGGGTGGCCAAACCTGGGCGCGCGAGCCGCTGCTGCCGCTGCAACCGCTGCTACCGCGATCGGGGAACCCCATTGGGCCCGCACCAACGGTCACTCTGGCAAATCTACGTCTTAAGCAGCAAAAGTATCCCCGACCCTTGGGGAGGGGACCTAAGTTAGGAGGGCCAGAAACATTAGGGATCGGGGGTCTTTTTCCGCAGAGGTGTCAGACCAAACCGCCAGGACTTGCTATCCCTAATGCGAAGACGGGGACCTAAAAGTGAGGCCACGTCTTCATCGTGTCATCAGGGTGAGGGGCTCTCGTATTCCCGATGATCCGCTCCTCCCCCTCTACGGGGCGTGAAAACGACCACAGCCACTGCTTTTCTTTTGTTGCCGCATTCCAGCCCGCAGAAACAAAGCAGTGGTTGTGGTCATTTTCGTTGAGCTTGGCACCCGGGAAATGACCACAACCACTGCTTCATTTTCGGCCGGCTGGAAGGCGGCGCAAACAAGAAGCAATGGCTGTGGTCATTTTCCCGCTCCTCCCCCTCCTCCCCATGCCCTCCCCTCGCTCCAAGGCCCCGGTGTCCGGAAGAGGCCCCGGGAGCCCTCGAGCGGCCCTCGAGCGGCTCCCGGGAGGCCGCTCTCTCCCGGCCTGCCGGAGGCCCCCTGTGAGAGTCCCCGCGGCAGACGCGGAGGAAGCGGAGGGCGAAGAGGCAACAGCGACAAGCAGGGAGCACGGCGGAAAACGGCGCACACAAGGTCGGACGCCGCGCACTTGCTCTCCTGAGGGCTGGAACGCCCGAAATGGGTGCGGAAGGAATGGGTACGATGCCCAAAAACACATGCTGATCAAAACCGACAGCGGCCGCTGTTGGACCACGTCCGCGGCGACGCCGACAGCGAACCCTGTTCAAAATGGATAGAAAATGCTGTTGGCTTTCGTGCCCATTCTTCCCGTACTCGTTCCGATCGTGCCGAGGGGTCGGCGGAATGACCTAAGCCTTTTGCAGAAAGCCGGTATCAGGCGAGAGAGGAGGAACAAGTATTCACATTGTGCCACTGCGGAGGAGGCGCTGGAGCAGGAGGAGGGCCAGGGAAGGGCCAGAAGAAAGACCACAATCAGCTTCAACTGCACGAGCATGGGCAGGGCAGGAGGAGGAGCAGAAGGAGCAGGAGCCCTGTCAATACCCTTGACCAAACGAGACTGGTCGAGCAGAGGGAGGACTTCGAGACCAAGTCATCATCCGCCTCCTCCTCCTCCTCCTGCTCCTGCTCCTCCTCCTCCTCTCCTCCTCCTCCTCCTACCTCCTCCTCATCATCATCATCATCATCATCATCATCATCATCATCATCATCATCATCATCATCATCATCATCATCATCATCATCATCATCATCATCATCATCATCATCATCATCATCATCATCATCATCATCATCATCAGCATCATCATCATCATCATCATCATCATCATCATCATCATCATCATCATCATCATCATCATCATCATCATCATCATCATCATCATCATCATCATCATCATCATCATCATCATAATCATCATCATCATCATCATCATCATCATCATCATCATCATCATCATCATCATCTTGCTCCTCCTCCTCCTTTAACGTTAGAGTAACCTAAGGTTTCGCTGTGGCGTTCAGCCTCCTCCTCCTCCCTCCTCCCTCGTCCTCCCTCCCTCCTCGTCCCTCTTCGTCCCTCCTGCTGCTCCTCTGTCCTACGCGCTCCTCCTCGTCCCTCCTCCAATGTGTGTCCTTCGAGTCCAGGACCTCGTTGTCCTTCACGGCAACGGTCTTGATGTCGCTCTTGCCCAGGTCGAACGCGAGGCGGCAACCTCCGAGACGGACAGAACAGACGCAAGAAATTGGCGGCGAGCGAGGGGGGGAAGTGAGAAGGAGCGGGACCTCTCAGAAGGCGGCGGGGCTACTCAGAAGGCCTCGGGCCTTCTGTGAAGTCTTCGGCGCCTTCGGGGAAGGCTCGGGAAACTTCTCAGAAGGCCGGGGGGTCCGAGCCATCTGAGAAGGCCTGCCCCTTCTCACCTCCCCCACGGGCGCGCCGCCGAAAAAGAACTCATGCAACAACGCTCGCCGAACAAAATCAAAGCGGGAAATTTAGGGGACGGGAACTTGATGAGAAGGGGGAACAGGCGGACGAGAAGAGGGGGCGCGAAGAATGGGCAGGGGGGATGTTCAAGTTCAAGCGGCCCGCCTACACCGAGCACGCCCCATGCTAAGCACTTGTTTTAAGACCCAACTAGTCGAATGTCTCACTCCTCTCATGTCCAGCCAGCAAGGTGGCAGGAAGTCGTTTAGAGTCAAGCTCATGTGCGAACTTGGCTATCAACATAGCATGGACTGACAACAATGTGTCCGAAACAACGTGATAATAAACGAGACGCCAAGAGCTGCAGTTCCTCATGATACGACAACAAGAAATGGATCTCATTGTCAGCGAGCCAATCACCAAACGCCCTTACTCCTTTGACCTAGAAAACAGCCAACCAAATGAGTCTAGCCACCTCCGTCACCGCGCCTTGTGCACGTTGAGGCGTGTTCGAATGCTCTTCTGCTGTCTGATCAGGCTTCTTTAGTGCGTTCTACGGCCAACCTCATCCCATGGTCGCACCCGCCCTTCGAAAATCACTCCCCCTCTCCAGAGCCAATTTCAAATTGTATTCCATACCAGATCATTGTCTGGAGAAGCTCTGGCCGAAGAGATGCCCTGGCCGAAGGGGGTAAAGTAGCAAAAGCAGCAAAAACATCCTAAACATTAAAAGCACACAACTCAAACAGCAAAAGAAGCGCCCCAGGGCAACAAACACAGCACCAACAAAGTATTACTCGAAAACAGCCAAGGTCGCCCCAAGACGGTCAAAGGGCCTTCAAGGTGGTCCCAAGACTGCGCAAGAAGGCATCCAGACGCTCCAATAGGGCCCCAAGATGGCCTCAAGACGGCTCAAGAGGCCCCCAACATGGCCCAAGAGGACTCCAACAGGACGCCCAAGAGGCCCTCGATAGCAAACAACTGTGTTGTTCCTGCAGATTTTGACAGGTTTCGAACTGGCCCTTTCTTTCTGGCTTCCGAAAACCCAAGGAAGCTCCAAGGCAGCCCAACAGGGTCCCAAGAGGGCCCCAAGACGGTCCAGGGGGCTCCAAGACGGCCCACGAGGCCCTCAGGACGACCCATGGACCCAAAGACAAGATGCCCCCAAGGGGGCCCAAGAGAGGGACATCGAGCTGTCCCTGACAGCCATTTCCTACAGGACTGCCACCAAGATCCCCAACATACTCGCAAGAGGCTCCTAAAAGGCCCACAGAGGACCCCAAGACGCCCCCGAGAGGACAAGGAGACCCCCAAGAGGCCCCCCAGAGGTCCCCCTGCAGACCACCAGAGGCCTCTCAAACGGACCAAAAGGCTCCCGAGAGGCATCAAGAGACCCTGGAGCAGCTCCAGCGTGCGTCTTTAACTCAACCTTATTCCAGCTGCGCTGCTGCACTGGCGCGGTGGCGCGGTGGCGGAGCTTGCCGCAGGCAACTGGATCTTGCACATCGCAGGCCACTTCTCGGTCCCCAAGCAGTCGAACTTTGGATCGCTGCATTGTGTGGCCAGCATCAAGCCGTGCTTCCCATTGGGGAAGATGTGGGCCTCGTGGCTGACACCCGCTGAGACCAGCGCGGCCACGTACCTCTTGGTGTTCTCCACAGGGACAGTCATGTCACCTTCGCTCGCCCAGATGAAAGTTGGCGGTGTATCCTTAGTGACATGGGCCTCTGCGGAGACTCTCTGAACGTCAGATTCGGAATACGGGGGCTTCCCCAAAATGTTGAGAAAAGAACCATAATGCGCTATGGGAAGGCTCTCCCCTATCTTCCGCCACCGCGCATGCAGCGGTTGACGCGTACTTGGCACGTTGCTTTTTGATTCTATTGGCTTCCCATCAAGGAGTTATTCAGGGCCCCCGACGCATCGAGCCCAACATGCGTGTATTTCTCGCGCCAATGCACTGCGTTGCTTGCCTTCCGCTCGCAAAACGGTGCCAACCTCAGTATATGGTTGAGCGTTCCATGGAACACAGTGGGGGCCCGACCACAAGAAACCTTCCACAAGAAACCCAACCCTGAGACACCAGGACGTCCAGTGATTTGGGTGTGGGAACGTCACGCTCTCTACAGCAAAACCATCGAAAGCCAAGAAACCTAGCGACCCTGGATGCGAGCAAGGTGTTTCTTGGCATGGGTCTCCACTGTACTGCGTTGTTTGCCTTCCGATCACCAGACGGTGCCAACCTCAATGTTACCGTGGAACAACCTCCGGTCGTTCCCGGCCCTCCCCTACAACACCACATCCTCCTCCTCCTTCTCCTCCTCCTCCTCCTTCTCCTCCGCCTCCTCCCCCTCCTCCCCCTCTTCCTTCTCCTCCTCCTCCTCCTCCTCCTCCTCCTCCTCCTCCTCTTCATCCTTTTCCTCAGGCGTCCCGAAAAGAGCGCGGCGGCAAAGCCGCGCGGCAGCGCAACTGCATATGGCGAGGACCATATGACATTTTGTCGTGCTCGGGCGTTATAGTTCGATTGAGACAGTCTTGGCTCGCTGTGATTACTGGGAACGAAAGAACGGCAAGGTCCGGTCTGGCCGAAAATTTCGCAGCAGCATCCCCGAGCGTGATCAAGCGGCTGTCGAACTCGCGGTAATCTTTCAGATCCCAAGTCGTGGAGAGCATCGACCCGATGTGACCACCTGCGGAGAAACCCATGACGCCCACACGGTGGCTATCCACACCCCAAGACTCGGCATTATATCGCACCAACTGCAAAGCACGCCGCGCATCGAGTAGTGGTTCGGGAAAGGGTCTGCGAATGCGGTACTTCAAAACTGCTGCGTGCAAACCTATAGAGTTCGCCCATTGAGCGACTGGCTCGACTCTTGCGGTATCAATTTGCCAGTAGCCGCCTGCTGGAACGATCAACATAAGTCCTCGCTTTTCTCCTGATGTGGACGCGGTCCGATTCAAGTGCACTTCAATCGTCACCTTATCCGATGGCGATGCGCTGTCTAACAATATGTCACGGCCGCGTAGGCCGTCCCAAATTGACAGGGTCAACTTAGGGGTGCTCACTTGCACATTGACGCACAACACAACTGGCAGCGTCAGCACTGCAGCAGCGAAAGCCACGATTCCGTTGAGACGTTGGCCGTGCATGACGCAATCCTACATATGTAATTACTTCGGGGAGGATGCAATCGACGCAGCTCGTCCTGGATTGGCTTGAGCCGAAGCGGCCACGGACACGACACGGCTAAGCACTGGGAGGCTGCAAGGCACTGCGTCGTTGGAGACGGAAAATCTATTATGTGATCAGTGTTAGCCAGCGTGGATCCCGCACAGTGTGTTCTGGCATGCTATGTGATGCAACATACGTGGTGCCATCTAGGTCGTGCAACATGTGAAAGTGGATGTGTGTAAACATGCATACAAACATATATTTCTCTTCCTATATTTTTATAAGCCTGGGCGGGGGGAAAACCCGTCAACCCCCCCCAAAAAAAAACCGGACTCCCGGGATCTGGGGCTTTGGGACTCTCCGGACGGGCCTCGAAGCGGCCACCGGGCCTCGCAGGGCGCTTTGCCAAGCCTTACCAGCACACCTAGGGCGATCAGGGGGGTTCATCGGAGACGTCCCAGAGACCCCCAAGACAGCACAAGAGCGCTCCGAGAGTGACCGACGTGACCTCAAGATGACCCAAGAGGCCTCCAGGACGGCCCCAAAGAGGCCTCCAAGAGCACTCCCAAGAAGCCCCCCCGAGGCAAGAATCATTGACTTTCTGTTGGTTTTTGGTGAATTTGGGGGTTCTCCTCTTTTCGGCTTCCCAACGCTCCAAGACGGCAGTCTTCTGGGCGTCCGAAGCCGCCTGGGAGGCTCCAAAATCGCCCCACAACCATTCGAAAGGGCTTCCAGGCAATCCAAGAGAGCCCCAAAACGGCACAACACGGGTCCAAGATGGCCCTCAGAGAGCCCCATGGCGGCCCAAGATGGCCCAAAGACACCCTCCGAAGAACTCCAAATCGTGATTCGGTCGTTCAGGGAGACCGCGGTTGGAGGCAGGGTGGCCCGAGGAAGCCCCCGGAGGCCCCCAGAATACGCCCAGGAGGCCTCCAGAAAGCCTTGAAAAAGCCTCAAACAACTTTTGTGAGGCCCCTAGAGGCTCTCCAAGAAGGAGCCTCCGCAAAAAAGAGCTGAGGAGGATGGGGAGAATGCGCAGGGTATGGCGAAAATAATGAAAAAGAAACATGGAGGAAAGATAACGAATAACATTATTATGGCGGCGATGCCGGAAAAGGCAACCAGGAGTTATCGCCAAATTGTCGGTTTGACTTTCCAGCAATTCCGCCTGCATACCAAACTTCAAGGACCAAGGTGCATGACGAGAAGCGCCACTGCAGCCTTATATATATATTATATATATATATATATATATATATATATATATATAGCGCTGCGAGAGAGCCCGCGGAGGACCCATAGGGCCCCAAGACAGCCCCAAGAGCGCTGCGAGAGAGCCCGCGGAGGACCCACAGGGCCCCAAGACAGTCCCAAGAGCGCTGCGAGAGAGCCCCAGAACCGCCCAGGAGCGTGCAAAAATGGCCCCCCCTGGCGGCAAGTAGGGCCCCAAGACAGCCCCAAGAGCGCTGCGAGAGAGCCCCAGAACCGCCCAGGAGCGTGCAAAAATGGCCCCCCCATGGCGGCAAGACGGCTCAGGGCGCTCTCACGAGACGGCCCAAGAGGCCTCCGAGAGGCACTCCAGGAAGGGTCGCAGAGGCCCAAATCAGCGATGTTCCTCAGGTCTGAAAACGACTTGGATTTTTTTCTTCGTTTCATTCAACCTTTCGACGGCCCAAGACGGCCCAAGAGGTCCCCAAGCTCGCCCCAAGATCGCCCAAGATGCCTCCAAAATGGCCCCTCATGACGACCCAAGAGGCCCCCAAGAGGGCCCCCAGACGGCTCAAGAGGACCCCAAGACGGCCCAGGAAGGCCCCAAGACGATCCAAAAAAGGCCAGAGGATGCCTCCAAGAGTGCCCCCCACCAAAGGACCCCAAGACAACACAAAAGGGTCCTAGCACGGCCCAAGAGGGCCCCAAGACAGCCCCAAAGAGTCCCTAAAGGACCGTCAAGAAGGGTCACGTTCGTCATGTTTTGAAAGGTTGGCTGTTCATGGCGTGACGCAATATTACAGCAAACATTCCTCCACACGCACAATTGAACCATGATGCGGGGGGGCACGATACGGAAGGCCAAGACTCCCGTTCCAGACGGCGAGGTGACGGACGAAGCTTGGGCGCCAAGGCTCCTGGGAGATCCAGGTGACGGCCATCACATGTTCAGACGGGTCAGTGGCACACAAAACTTTCGAAGCCAAGGATCCCAAGACCTCCCGATGACATGAAAAGCTCTTTGCACCAAGGCTCCCGATACGACCGGTGACGTAGAAAGGTTTCACCGCCCATCCTCCCAGTACGAACGATGGCGTCCAGAGCTGATCACCTTCAGAAGCCCCGGACGGGATGCTCGAGGCCCCAGGCTGGAGCGCCATTGACACCAGCATGACGAGCAGCACGACTACCAGGACAATCACTAGCACGACTTCCAGCACGACCATCTGCACGACCAGCAACACGATGGTCAGCGCGACCACCCGCGCGACCACCAGCACGACCACCCACACGGGCATCAGCGCGATCACCCCGCACTCGCGCTTATTATCTTTACTCCCCTCCCTCACCGTCCCCCATCCCCCTGTAAGCTTCCTGATACGTGATCTGTGATGTGCCCACCGAAAACAGTCAGTCACACATGAACTGATCAGGCTCTTGACACACACAGACACACACACACACACAAAAAAAAAAAATATCCCGGCAAAGCAACCTAACAGCGATGTGTAGGAGCATATTTGGAAGCATTCCCCTTAAGATTCAGATGAGAATCCAGTTGTAGAATTCTGCTGTTCTCGCAGTCGTAGTCGCATTCGCGATGACAGTCGCAGTGGCAACGGCAGTCGCAGTCACAGCCTCAGCCTCAGCCTGCCTCAGCCTCAGCCTCAGCCTGCCTCAGCCTCAGCCTGCCTCAGCCTCAGCCTCAGCCTGCTTCAGCCTCAGCCTCAGTCTGCCTTCAGCCTCGGCCTCAGCCTCAGCCTGCCTCAGCCTCAGCCTGCATCAGCCTCAGCCTCAGCCTCAGCCTGCCTCAGCATCAGCCTGCCTCAGCCTCAGCCTGCCTCAGCCTCAGCCTCAGCCTGCTTCAGCCTCAGCCTCAGTCTGCCTTCAGCCTCGGCCTCAGCCTCAGCCTGCCTCAGCCTCAGCCTGCCTCAGCATCAGCCTGCCTCAGCATTCAAAATGTGGCCCGGGAATGGAGTTCTGGGAACTCGAAGAACACGAAGTGGCCTACAGTTGGCTCCGGGCATTCAAAATCATGCCCAGGAATGGAGTTCTGGGAACTCGAAGACCACGAAGTGGCCTACAGTTGGCTCCGGGCATTCAAAATGTGGCCCGGGAATGGAGTTCTGGGAATCGAAGAGCACGAAGTGGCCTACAGTTGGCTCCGGGCATCCAAAATGTGGCCCGGGAATGGAGTTCTGGGAATCGAAGAGCACGAAGTGGCCTACAGTTGGCTCCGGGCATCCAAAATGTGGCCCGGGAATGGAGTTCTGGGAAATGGAAGAGCACGAAGTGGCCTACAGTTGCATCCGGCCCTCCAGAATGTGGCCTGGGAATGGAGTTCTGGGAACTCGAAGAGCACGAAGTGTGTGACTGTTGGTGAAAAACGAGGTGGGCACAAGCCCGCCCGGCAACTCCCAACACCTGCCCGGACCCCCCTGTGGAGTGATCTGTGACCTCTTTTGATCCTACTAGAAACCTATCAGTCTTCGCTGTTAGGTAACTAAATACAGACACGCACTCACGCACAAACCAAAAACTGCAACGCCGACAACGCACATCAGCACAGACCCTCAAATTCACGAGCACGCCGCAGTCTGCCATTCTGTCACATACCGCGGTGGAAATCGAGGTCCGCCTCTTGCGCAAAGGATGACGATGAGGGACAAGATGTCGCGGCGAAGCGAAACGAGCCAACAATAGATTGTAGTAGAATACATCATATTAACAAGTATGCCCGACCCCCCCTGGGAGCGTCCCACACTTCCAGAACATCTGGGGGACACTCCCGGTACCGCGCCCCCGGGCCTCCCAGGGAGGCCCCAAAACGCCCCAGGACGGCCCAAGACGCCCCCAAAGAGCCCCCAAAACGCAAAAAACACCCCGAGACACAGTCAAGCAGCCCTAGAAAGCCTTCCGCTGGCTTTCCAGGCTCCCAGGATCGCCGAAGAGTCAACAAGAAGGCCTCCAGGAGGCCCCAAGAGACCTCCGAGAGGCGTCCCGAGAGGGCCCGAAGAGTCCAAAATCGTTGATTCTCATTGTTTTTCCCCATATCCTAAGATGGGGTTCTTGTTATTACTTGGACGCCTCCTACTCCCTCTCCTTCTCCCTCCTCCTCTTTCCTCCTCCCCTCCTGTCGGACTTACTCATACTCAGACTTGCTCATACTCAGACTTACTCATACACAGACTTACTCATACTCAGACTTACTCATACTCAGACCTACTCATACTCAGACCTACTCATACTCAGACTTACTCACACTCAGACATGCTCATACACAGACTTACTCATACACAGACTTACTCACACCCAGACGTACTCATACACAGACTCACTCATATCCAGACTTACTCATACACAGTATTAGTCATACTCAGACGTTCTCATACCCAGACGTACACATACACAGACTTTCTCATACACAGACCTACTCGTACCCAGACTTACTCATACACAGACTTACTCATACACAGACTTACTCATACTCGGGCATACTCATTTTCAGCACCCCTAAGGGGAGCCGCCAGGGGTGTTTGCACGGGCTCGTTCGCGGCCATTTTGTGGGGATGTCTCAAGCGGTTTGCTGGTTTCTGGGCTCAACATCCTTCGTTTGGAGAGCAGATTGTGAGGATGTCTCAAGCGGGGCGCTGGTTTCAGCACCCCTAAGGGGAGCCGCCAGGGGTGTTTGCACGGGCTCGTTCGCGGCCATTTTGCGGGGATGTCTCAGGCGGTTTGCTTGTTTCTGGGCTCAACATCCTTCGCTTGTAAAGCAGATTGTGAGGATGTCTCAGGCGGGGGGCGCTGGTTTCAGCACCCCTAAGGGGAGCCGCCAGGGGGTTTGCACGGGCTCGTTCGCGGCCATTTTGCGGGGATGTCTCAGGCGGTTTGCTTGTTTCTGGGCAACATCCTTCGCTTTAAAGCAGATTGTGAGGATGTCTCAGGCGGGCGCTGGTTTCAGCACCCCTAAGGGGAGCCGCCAGGGGTGTTTGCACGGGCTCGTTCGCGGCCATTTTGTGGGGATGTCTCAGGCGGTTTGCTTGTTTCTGGGCTCAACATCCTTCGCTTGGAGAGCAGATTGTGAGGATGTCTCAGGCGGGGCGCTGGTTTCAGCACCCCTAAGGGGAGCCGCCAGGGGTGGTTGCACGGGCTCGTTCGCGGCCATTTTGTGGGGATGTCTCAGGCGGTTTGCTTGTTTCTGGGCTCAACATCCTTCGCTTGGAGAGCAGATTGTGAGGATGTCTCAGGCGGGGCGCTGGTTTCAGCACCCCTAAGGGGAGCCGCCAGGGGTGGTTGCACGGGCTCGTTCGCGGCCATTTTGTGGGGATGTCTCAGGCGGTTTGCTTGTTTCTGGGCTCAACATCCTTCGCTTGGAGAGCAGATTGTGAGGATGTCTCAGGCGGGGCGCTGGTTTCAGCACCCTAAGGGGAGCCGCCAGGGGTGTTTGCACGGGCTCGTTCGCGGCCATTTTGTGGGGATGTCTCAGGCGGTTTGCTTGTTTCTGGGCTCAACATCCTTCGCTTGGAGAGCAGATTGTGAGGATGTCTCAGGCGGGGCGCTGGTTTCAGCACCCCTAAGGGGAGCCGCCAGGGGTGTTTGCACGGGCTCGTTCGTGGTCAGTTTGTGGGAATGTCTCAGGCGGTTTGCTCGTTTTCATGCCCAACATCGCCGGCGGGGCTGCGCCTCCAAAAGTGGTGAAACGCGCCCTGGGGAACCAGGGCTGAGGAGGAAGAGGGGGAGGAAGAGGAGAAGGAGGAGGAGGAGGAGGAGGACTGGGGGAGGAAGCAAGGGGATCAGGACGATGAGGTGAAGGATGACGACAAGGATGAGGAGGATGATGTCTAAGAGATTGAGGACGAGGAGGAGGATGGCGTGAGCGAGGGAAATGACAGGAACGAGGATGAGGAGGAGGAACAGGAGGAGGAGGAGGAGGAGGCGGGGGATCGTGAGGAAGGGCATGGGGGTGCGGAGGGGGAGGGGGAGCAGGAGGATGAGGAGGAGGAGCAGGAGCAGGAGAAGGGAGGGGGCGGAGGAACAGGAGGAGGAGGAGGAGGAGGGCGCTTTGCTCGAAGGTCCTTGACGCGAGCAGAACGTTTGTTCCGAAGTCCAGGACATATATATATATATATATATATGTATTCATAGGGGGTGACTGCGAGGGGGGGCGGTGGTTGTGTGCGGGGATCGTTGGAAATGCTCACCGTGGCACTATCCTCCAACATGACATGCACTTATGGCCTTGTGTGGCTAAACGCTCGTCTTACATATCCCACTGCCAACTATCCTACAACATATGCACATGTGGGAAGCTCCAAAGCTACCACGGGCTGAAAAGGGGAAGGCCTGGCAGCTGAGGAGGGGGGATGAAGAGGAAGAGGCTCGCATTCAACCATACTCAAAGCTCACTCTGACTCATACGCAATCACTCGCATTAGGGGTCACTCGTCTTCGTCGGCCCTGTCGCCCACGTGGACGCGCTATTGTAGTCGACCGCTCATGAACAGACGCTCACCACGGCATGACATAAAACATGAGATGCACATATGGGGAGCTCCACGCAGTGAGTAATTGTTCCTGAGTTTTTGGCCTTCTCACTTTTCCAAGCTTCCAACGCTCCAAGACAGCCGAAGTGGCCCCCCAAGACCGCCCCAAGACGTCCGAAGAGGCCCCCAAAAGAGCCCAAAGGCGGCCCCAGAGAGCCTCAAGACTGCCCAAGAAGCGCCCAAGACGGGCCACGAGCGCCACGGGACCGCTCAAAACGGGCCCCAGGGCGGGAGCAGGAGGCTCCGACAGGCCCCCGAGAAGCCTCCAGGACCCCCCCGGAGGCACCCGACAAGCCCCAGAGCCCCACGAGGCTCCAAAAACAGCGCAAGAGAGCTCCGAGAGCCGCCCCGAGAGAGTCCGATGAGGGTAATGTTGCTTCTAAGTTTTCTTAGCCTTCTCGCGTTTTCGAGCTTCCAACGCTCCGGGTTACCGAAGAGGCCCCCAAGACCGCCCCAAGACGCCCGAAGAGGCACCCCAAAGAGCCCAAGACGGCCCAAGAGGCGCCCAAGACAGGCCAAGAGCGCCCCGGGACCGCTCGAAACAGGCCCGAAGGCGGGAGCAGGAGGCCCCAACAGGCCCCCCGAGAGGCCTCCAGGACCCCCCAGAAGCCCCCAACAAGCCACGGACCCCTGAGAGTCCCCCAAAGATACCCACGAGGCCCCAAAAATAGCCCCAAAAGAGAGCTCCGAGTGACGTCCCGAGAGGGCCCGAAGAGCCCAAAATCGTTGATTGATTGCCATTGGTTTGTTCTAGGTGTTTGGCCTTCTCGCGTTTTCATGCTTCCAACGCTCCAAAACAACCGTAGATGCCCCCAAGACCGCCCCAAGACGGCCGAAGAGGCCACCAAGAGAGCCTAAGACCGCCCCAGAGAGCCTCAAGACTGCCCAAGAGGCGCCCAAGACGGCCCAAGACGGCCGCAGGACAGGTCCAAGATGGGCCCGAGAGCAGGAGCAGGAGGCCCAAAGAGGCCCCCGAGAGGCCTTCAGGACCCCCCAGGGGCCCCTAACAAACCCAAGACTCCGGAGAGGCCCCCCCTAAAAAACACGAGGCCTCAAGAACAGCCACGGAGAGGCCTCAAAACTGCCTCCCAGGAGCCCCCTGCAGGCCTCTTAGCCCCCCCGATTCATGCGCACTACATGTTAGGAGGCCCGACTTGAAAAAGAAGGGAATTCAAGCGATTTCCATTTTTAGAACTTCACCCCGGGCCCCTTCAAAACTTCGGGGTGACACGGTAGAGGGAAACAATTACTGAACACTCCCCCTCCCCCCAAACTCAATGTTGGCACGCGCGGGGGAGACTGCGGTCGATGTGCATCTCATCAGACCCACCGCCAACTTTGAACATCGAGGGGAGGGGGAGGCGTTGACGGATGAATGTGGCATGTGTTCGCTAATTTGTTCCGAGGCCTCCATTTCAAAGATTGTTCAGGAATGCTGCTGAACTCTCTGACGCTGTCTTGGAACTCTCTTGGGTCGTCTTCGTGTTCTTGTCCTGGAAAAAAGGCAATTAAAAATCGAGACCCCATGAGTCCACTTATCCAGCTTAGCTAGAACTTCAGCGCGCGCGCCGAGAGGGAAGAAAAGGAGAGGACCTCCCCAAGCCTTTCGAGCGCTTTGCCCTAAGATGGCCCCAAGATTCTCCCAAAGGCTCTTGAGACGCCCCACAGATGCCTTCAGAGACTACTCGGAACTCGGAGGCTCCCAGGAGGCACCAAGAGCCTTCCAAGAGGCTTCAAATGACCCCCAAGACGCTACCGGCATGCATCCAGGAGACTTCCACCCACAGCCCAGGCCTGGCAAATTCAAGAAAACCCAAAAAATCCACAATTCTTTTTACTCCAGAGTCGCCCTGATCCCCTCAGTCTACTCTCGCAAACCCCCAGAAGCCTAGGAGATCATCGAAAATTTGAAGAAAATGCATGATTTCTGTGTTTCCGTGTTTCCCCTTCTATACACCTCTGAGGCTTCACCCCCAATTTGGTGCACCCACAGGGGGCTCCACCGAAGGCTCCAGGGATTGCGCCCGCATGCGGTTCCACCTTCGATCTTTTCGCGAATCCCCACCATAGGGAGCTCCACCGAAGGCCCCAGTGGCAGCGCCCACATGGCGGCCCCGCCACATTTCGGCACACCCTTCACGCGCTTCGTGGCCCCATAAGGAGATCCACCGACGGCAATACTCACATCGAGGGCACCCACAGCTGCACATTGTTGGGCTCTTCGCCAGGCTAATTATGAGCTGTCGGGGCACTCGGTCTTGAAACCCCTGCGGAGCCCAAGGTTTTTGAACGATTGCAGCATGCGCGCGCGCGACGACGCGCGGGCGCACGCCGCCCCAGCTTCTGCCAGGGCGCTCGAGTGAGCATGCGCGCGCGAGAGGCCCGCTTGGTAGAAAACCTCTGAAAGAATTCGCGAGAGCGCAGGCGCAGGTCTGTTCTGAAAACTCTCGTTGCGAAACCATGCGTCGTCTTATGTGACCGGGGCACTCGAGATTGAAACCCCCACGAAACCTGAGGTTTTTGAAATATCGAGTGCGCGCGCATACTATGTCCGCGTTGGGTCCTCGTTTTGAAAACACAGCGCCCCGCGTTCCTCCTCTTCTCTCCTCTCCTCATCCTCCCCCCCTCCCTCCCCCCTCATCCCGTCACCACCCTCACTTTGGCACACCCCTGACACGTTTCGTGGCCTCATAGAGAGGTGCACCGAAGGTCCCACTTGCGCAGCCCGCATGCGTCTCCCACACCCAGCACAGCGTTTCGTGGCCCCATAGGGAGCTCCACCGAAGGTCCCAGTGGCGAAGCCCGAATGCGTCTCCTACACCCAGCACGGCGTTTCGTGGCCAAATAGGAGGCTTCACCGAAGGTCCCAGTGGCACAGCCCGCATGCGTCTCCCACACCCAACACAAAGATTCGTGGCCCCAAAGGGAGCTTTTTTGAAGATCCCAGTGGCGCAGCCCGCATGCGTCTCCCCCACACAGCACAGCGTTTCGTGGCCCCAGAGGGAGCTCCATCCAAGGTCTCAGTGGCACAGCCTGCATGCGTCTCCCACACCCAGCACAACGTTTCGTGGCCCCGTTGGGAGCTCCACCTAAGGTCCCAGCGGCACAGCCCGCATGCGTCTCACACACCCAGTACAGCGTTTGTATTCTGCTCCGGGCTGACGCCCACCACCACCCCTGTCGTCTGGATAGGGGCTTTGGAGTGGTCTGGGCTGCACTTTGTGCCCTGGATCGGCCGAGGGGCTGCTCCTCCCTGGGGCCTCAAGAGATCCCGGGGCGCCCCGCCAGTTCGGCCCCCTCCCGTTCCTTCGGGTTCGGTTGGAGTTGCTGGACATGGACTCTCCTCCTCCTCCCTACCGCGCGGGCGAAGATGAGGGTCGAGATCACGACCCGCCTCAGTTCGAACCACGCTCGCCGAACTCCATCGGGGCGTGAACTCGACCTCCCCCCCTGCCGCGCCGACGAAGACGAGGTCGAGTTCACGATCCGTCCAAGTCCAGACCAGTCGTGGGAATTGCGCTGTTCCTACAATCAGTCCCCTTCCTGCTGTGCTGTTGCACATGCACGGTGGCGGAGCTTGCCGCGGGCAGCTGGATATGGTGCAGTCTCGTGAGCTGTGTGCTACGATCTGTGTGGTGCGGCGACGAGGCGGCGGCGACGGGCGGCGAGGCAGCAACGGGCGGCGACGAGCGGCGACGGGGCGGCGACGGGGCGGCGACGGGGCTACTGCGAAAAAGCGCGTGACGGGACAGGTGGTCACTACATCTAAGGGCGGTAGGCACGCTGCCGAAGTGTTGTCTCGTCTCGAGAAGGAGCGAGGGAGAACGAAGGAGGATGGAAGAGAAAGGGGGGGCGAGGGCGGAGGGAAACGGGGGAGGCGGAGGGAGGAGGCGGCGGAAGGAGGAGGAGGAGGAGGAGGAGGAGGAGGAGGATGCGGGAGGAGATGGCAGAGGGAGGGCCTAAGGCAGGATGAGGGAGCAGGCGTGATGGGGGTATGGATACAGTCGGACCCAGGCTAGAAAACTTCCCTCGAGAACACGAACGATACCCTCCGTCGGCCAAAACGCACAGAACATCCGAGGGTACCCTGCCCTGGGTGCACAAGAACGTCCCACAAGCAGGAAGAACACTAGGGTACCCTCCCCGAGCCGACCTAGATCTTATACCTCGGTCCGACTGTATGGATATGCCTGGCACCATGGCCACGCGGCGGAATGACGAGGGAGGGGAACGCGCACAAGGTAGGGGGGAGCGTGAGACTCTCCGCTGGTCAAATTGGAAGCATTCGATGGTAGCCTCCCCCAGGGTGCACAAGAGCATCCAACAAGCACGAAGAACACTAGGGCACCCTCTCCGAGCCGACCTCGAATTTGCACCTCGGTCCGACCGTATGCGTGGCAGCGCGGCGGAATGATGAATGATGAGAGACGGGAACGAGCACAAGAAGGGGTTGGAGGCCTGGAAATTGGCACCAACACCAACACAAGGGGTTGCCTCCACAAGGGGAAGATGATCCTAGATTTCGGCGTTGGTGGTAATACTTCGGCCACCTTGGAAGCCAGAATATTACCACCATCGCCGAGACCGGGACCTTCTTCCCTCGGTGGAGGCACGCCGCCTATATTGGTGCTGGTGTCAACCTCGAGGCTTGCGAGGGGGGGGCACCGTTCGCGTCCTTGCCGCACACCTGCGGGGTGTCCTTCGCTTCGGGCAGGTCCTCGGGCGCGCGGCAGCCGCGGCCACCCAGCCCCGCGAGCCCCGCCCCGAATCCGGCACCCGCCTCCTCCTCCTCCTCCTCCTCCTCCTCCTCCTCCTCCTCCTCATCCTCCTCATCCTCCTCCTCCTCCTCCTCCTCTTCCTCCTCGTCCTCCTCGTCCTCCTCCTCCTCCTCGTCCTCCTCGTCCTCCTCCTCCTCCTCGTCCTCCTCGTCCTCCTCGTCCTCCTCCTCTTCCTCGTCCTCCTCGTCCTCCTCCTCCTCCTCCTCCTCCTCATATTCCTCTTCCTTGGCATACGCAGCATCCGGTGGACGGCCTCCAGCGCGAAGCCAGCGGACACCGCTCGATCCCAGTCCGCCGCGCGAGATTGCTGCCCGCGCCGCGACAGCATGAAAAGGGCTCGACGACCTCCACGAAGCCGCAAAAGTGGAAATGCGCAACATCAAAACAGCCAACGAACCACTATCGCCAGCCAAACACAAGACTCGGATACTGAGAAGAATTGCGGCAACAGCCACCACGAATTCGCAGCATTTGAAACCAGCACACTCGAGACAGTGATACCATGAGGATCACAAGCCGAACACAATGCTCAAAAGTAGCTGCCAAGACGCGCCACCATCGAACAAAAACCAATATGCCCCAAAGACACCCCCCCCGCCCCCAAAACAACATAATTATTAAACGCACCTGCCGATGTCGTACATGACGCATATAGCATAGACTGCCACCACTCACAGAGTAGAAGAGAATATTAGGAACTGGCTGCCCCCCAGGAGCGGCGCCACAACATACTCCAGCTCCGAAGACGAGTAGAAACGCCGCGCCGTGGACCAGCAACCATCCCAAAGCAACACATGACCCGAGGCGTTCCCCATCGAAGGCTTCCACGGGCCTTCCAGCTCAACGTGGCGACATTTTGCCGAGAGCTCCACTCGGACGGGCTTCTCCAGGACTCAGAAATAACTGTTTCGTCTACGCTTCGACACCTGCAAGAGATATTCGAGAGACATGGACTTGGCGAACGTGGAACAAACTTGGCCACGTTCTTCTGCGTCACAGAATCTCGCGCCGCGCCAGGACAAACTCCTTTGAACTTTGCACATTCTGCGTGGCATCCTTACTCGACCGCGCACACCTCGTACCTATACGCGCAAGACCGCCCCATTGCAGCGCATGCCCCTGGCCACAGAAAAACTGGTGAGCGGCCTGCTATGGTTCCGCAAGGGAGTCAACCACCAACCACCTTCTCAGGCAACCCACCAGCGCCCCCATCAGCACCAGTGACTATAATATGACCTGCCTCGCTGCACATGGGCTGAAATGCCAGACCTTTGTTCGCGCCCATGACTGGGCGGCGGAGAGGAGGGGCACGGCCACAACTCCTTGGATACCCAAGGGCGCAAGGGCGCACAGCCACGAGGAGGGGTGGGAGGAGGAGGGGAATAGAAGAGGAACGGGGATCGGGCAGAGAGGAGCGTGGCCTGCCTCTGCCCAGCTCCGCTTGAACAGGTGGTGAAGACGAGTTCTGCTCGCGCCGCAGATCGTTGCGCGGCGGGGCCAAGGTGATCGCAGGCAGTGGCACGAGGGAAAGGGGTCCTTGCGGCAACGGGCCCTGGACTCGGGCGTCGCTTAATTGACTACCTACCAGACCACCCCAACCCAACCCGAAGACCCGAATTTGACCCGAATTTCGGGTTGGGGGGGACGGGTTCCATGTGTTTTTTCAATGTTCCCCGACCCCCCCCACTGGAAATCGAGGATCAATTTGAGCCTTCGGGTTGGGTTGGGGTGGTTTGGTGGGTGATGATTAATGGGGGCGATAAAAGGAGGGGGGGAAAAAAGGTGCACTTCTCGGGCCCCGAATGCCCCCTTGTGGGGGCCCCAAACGGCTCCTTCGGGGGCCCTTGAAGGGCCCCTGTTCTGCAGCCCTCGCTGCCCCCCCCTGGTCGCCCCTCGTACGCGACGCCCAGTGGACCCTGGAGCTTGCAGTCCCAATGGCCGGGGGAGGCCCCCCTGCGACCCAGAAGCGGCAACAGAAACTCGAGGGCCCCCTTCCTCCAGGACGATGATGATGATGATGATGATGATGATGATGATGATGATGATGATGATGATGATGATGATGATGATGATGATGATGATGATGATGATGATGGTGGTGAGGATGATGGTGGTGAGGATGAGGATGAGGATGAGGATGAGGAGGAGGAGGAGGAGGAGGAGGATGAGGAGGAGGATCGCACTGCCTTGAAAGCCACGCATGCGTGCTGCCAGGGCCGTACCCCAGTTCAGGACTGAAAAAACGGTGTTGCTCGGGCGCTTCTGGCCCTCGGGACGGGCCGTGTCGTCTTCCGCCTCGGCCAGTCCTCCAGGACGCCGCTCCCTCGAGGGCCGAGGGCACGCGAGGGCCCCGAGGGGGCGGTGGCCGCGACGGCGGTGGCCGACGGCGGGCCGACGGCGGCCCTCCTCGGCCTTCTCCGCGATGGTCACCTCGAAGGGCTTGTCCGGGGTGCCGCACACCTCGGAGGAGCGGGGACGACGACGGCGAGGACGAGGACGAGGACGAGGACGAGGACGAGGACGCGGACGAGGACGAGGACCACGACGACGACCACGACGACGACGACGACGACGACGACGACGACGACGACGACGACGACGACGAGGACGAGGACGAGGACGAGGACGAGGATGAGGACGAACGGAGGACGACGACGACGACCACCACCACGACGACGACCACGACGACGACCACGACGACGACGACGACGACGACGACGACGACGACGACGACGACGACGACGTCGAGGTGGAGAAAGGCAGTGGGAGAGGATGGGAGGGGAGGAGGGGCGGAGGGGAAGGCGGCGGGGGAAGGCGGAGCGGAGGGGAAAGGCGGACGGAGAGGGGGAGGGGGCGTGCTGGAGGAGAAAGAGGAGGCGGGGGAGGAGGAGGATGGGAGAAGCAGGAGCAGGAGACGAGGAGCAGAGCAGCAAGAGGCAGGGAAGAGAGAAGGGGGCTCCGAGGGCCTCGGAGGGAGCCGAGGCACTCCGCCCCTGGGGGGGGCCCACCTCTGCTGCCCGGTGATGGCTCTGGCTGCAACCTCGGGCAGCCTGACACTGCGCTCCGCGAGCAGAGCCCCTATCGTTATGTCGGGCGTGTGCCCCTACCGGGGGATTTTCAACGATAAATCCGCCGACCCTGTCGGCGTGTGGAAGAGGCTTCTCCGTCTGTTCCCTCTTCGTCGTCGTCGTCGTCGTTCCTTCCCCTTTCCCCACAGCGTCGTTGCTTCTACCCCTCTCCCAGGGCCTCCTCCTGAAGCGTGCCAGTCCAAAGCGAAATTGAGCAACGTCGTAATTGAGTCGAAAGAAGCCCCTTCCCTTTGATCCCTTCCCCGCCCGGGGGGGGGGTCCCGGGGTGGGTCCCGGGTTTTTACGCCGCCCCCCCGGGGAATCCCGGAGCCCAAAAAAGCCCCAAGACGGGCCAAGAGTGCCCCAAGAGGCCCCCAAGACGATCCACCAAGAGGGCCCCGAATCGCCGAATGATCTGTCCAAGACGCCTTGACGGCCTCCAGACGGCCCAAGAGGCCTGCGAGACGCCCCAAGAGGCCTCCAGGACCGTTCCCACGAGAGCCCCAAGAGGCAAAAATCATGGATTTCCAATACGTTTTTCAAGAATTTTGGCGTTCTCGCCTCTTCCGCTTCCCCACGCGCCAAGACGACCCAAGAGGCCCCCAAGGTCGCCCCGAGACGGCCCAAGAGGCCTCCAAGAGAGTCCCCAAACGGCCCAACAGTGCCCCAAGACGGCCCAAGACGCCTCCAAGACGGCACAAGAGGCCCCCAAGACGGTTCCAAGAGTGCCCAGACGGGGGACCCGAACGGACATTTCGAGCCCTCAGCCCCGAGAAGCCCCCAAGAGGCCCCCAGGAAGCCCAAAGAGGCCCCAAGAGGCTCCCAAGAGGCCCCCAAACATCCCCCCAGAGGCCCCCGAGAACGCTCGGAAGAAACCCCAAGAAGCACGTTTGAGGACTCAACCCACGTCAGCATCGTCGTCGTCGCTACCGCCGCCGCCGCCGTCGTCGTTCCCCTTCAGGGTCGGCGGCACCGGCCGTAAGGCCTTCGCAATTAAAAATACCCCCCAAATACCCCAAAATGATCAAAAAACTGCTCAAAAAATAGTCCCCCTACTATTTTGGGACTATTTTTTGACTATTTTGGGAGGTATTTTTTATATTTCGTCGAAAATCCCCCTGTAGGGGGACAGGCCCGACTTAACCCCATCGTCGGCTCACCCGATCCGCGATCGGGGCGTGGGCCACGGCCCCCCGCGCCCGCGAGAGGCAGCGTCTGGGCAGCGGGCGTTCGGCATGGACTTGACCTCGAAGGCGTAGGCGCCGTCCACGGAGAACATGGTCTTCAGCACCTGAGGCGCGCAGGGCAAGGGGAGAGGGAGGGAGGGAAGGGGAGGAAAGGGTGGAGGGAGGGGGGGGAGGCCGAGGTAGAGGATGCAGGGGGGAGGACGGAGAGGGCAGCAGGGAGGGAGGGGAGAGCCGCGAGGCGCGATAAGCGAGGAGAGAGGAGAGGGCAGCGAGCGGGTAGGACTGATCAGGCATGGCTCTTCAACGCGGTGTCCCCTCCACTCAGCCCCCCTGTGAAGGGGAGCGGCTTCTAGATCCCCCACATTTGCATGGGTAAGTCCCCATCCCGACACACTCGATTGGCCGCCGGCCTTGGTCATCTTCTCGGGCCCGAAGAGGATCAACGAAGAGGCGCTTCGCTGCCAGATCATCTCCTGGATCAGCACGCCCGCCAGGTAGGTGGAGGCGCGCACGTCCTCGGCGGCACAACGGCAGAAAAGCAGCAAGAGCAGGGGAACGGACAAAATGACGGGCAAGGTTCGGGAACTGCTTTGATCTGCCGGGCGAGAGCGAGCCTCTTCCGGTCGAAGCTACGCGGGCCGCGCACAGCTTTGGTTAACAGAGGAAGGGAAAAAGAAGGCGGTGCCTCACGTCAAGGCCAAGAGAGGGCAAAGCCCCAGGATCGGGCGGTGGAAGGCTCGGGCACACGCGAACTCGGGTCGGGGATCCGTGGGCCTGGCGCGTGAGCACCAGATCCACGGATCGGGGAGGGCACCCCCCCTTGCTACGAGCAGCCAATGCCGCCCGCTTTGGCGACGGAGCACGCCGACTCTCTCTCTCGGGGCTGGACCCGTCGCTAACCCACGCGCCTCAACCCGTGTCTGCGCCTCCTCGAGATGAGGGGGGAGGGGAGAGGAGGGAATGTGAGGGACGGGAGGAGGAGGCCTCGAGAGGTCTTCAGGTCCCAGGAGGTCCCCACCGGTCTCTGGAGGTCTCTGGAGGTCTCTGGAGGTCTCTGGAGGTCTCCCGAGGCCTCAGGCGAACAAATCTGATTCCCCAAAGATCCCAAGATCTCTGTCCTTGATCTTCATCCTCTCGAGCCCCAAAGAGAAGCAGGAGGAGGAGGAGGAGGAGGCGGACCTCATCCCCTGGGAGGAGGGGGGGGGGCGTGGTCCGACGCGGCGCGGCCGACGGTTTCCCCAGCAATGAAGACCCAGCATGGTCGCGGGACGGCCCGACGACTCCCGCCCAGGGATGGCCCCGAGGCTCGCGAGGAGCGCCCCCCAGGACGGCTCAGCGGAACAGCGCCAGGAACCAGAGGGGCAGGAGCAGGGGCACGGTCGCGGCCTTGTCATAGGGAGCCCTAAATGAGGAACACCTAAGACAAACTGTAAAACAATCAAGGAACAGTGGGCCCCTCCCCAGCGACGAGGGTTCCTTCTTCAGCGGCCCGACTGCACAGTAGGAGCTCGTACACAAGGAACCTGCCAAAAGAAGCCCAACCCTAAGACCCCAGGACGTCCATCGACTTCTGGTGCGGCGACGCCACGCGTTCCAGAGCAGAACCATCGAAACCCAAGAAACCCAGGGCACCCTGGAGACAAGCAGAGTGGTTCTTGCCATGGGTTTCCACTGGACGAACGTCGACAGGTAGACCTCAACAAGGGAACTGAAGACCGCGGGGGGAGGAGAGGAACGGGGGACAGGAGGGGGGGAGGAGGAGGAGGAAAGGGGTAGGGGGAGGGGGGGGGGAGGGGGAAGAGGGTTTCTACTGTAGTGTGGTGCTTCTTGGCATGGGTTTCCACTGCAGCGTGCAGGCAGGAGCGGGGCAGCCGCGAGGGGCAGAGAGAGCCGGGCGGAGGGCGGGCGGGCCGCGCCCCCGTGAGCAACAGCGGCAGGACAGACCGCAGGCACGAGAGCCCGCCAGACTTGGCCACGCATCTCTGGAAAAGTGCGTGCAGAGGCAGGTTCGGCGGCGAGCCCGGGGGAGAAGCGAGGAGGAGATGTGCTCAGGCTGAGCTGGTTGGTGCCGTGCAGTGTGGCAAGACCCCGATCGAGAGACTGGAAGCCAATGGACTGCGCCAGCGTTCCCGCCCAACCAGCACTGCACTTGGCAAGAAGCAGAAGACATTCTCAGATGGCTCGGATATGTGCCCAGGCCTTCTGAGCAGTGTGTCGCAGCCTTCCCAGAAGACACAGAAGAGACTTCTCAGAAGGCGAGAGGGCCTCTGGCAAGTCCCGCCGCCTTCTGAGAGGGCTTGCTCCTTCCCACTCCCCCCCCCCTCGCCCCCCGCCGAACGTGTCTGGGCGAGTGCGTGCAGGGGCAGGCAGCACCTCCGCTGCGCTCCCGCTGCTCCCGGCCTCTCCTTGTGCTTCTGCGGGAAGACGGGCAGCTTGTAGCGAGCGCATCCGTCGGAGCGCGGGAGCGCCCACTCCAGGGTCTCCGCGTCCGCGACCTCCTTCACGGCCTCGAGGGGACGCAGGGCGGAACGAGGTGCGGGGAGGCAGGATGAGCTGGGAGAGGGGAAGTGCCTGGAGAAGCGAGGAGGGGGAAGGGCCGCAAGCGTTGAGCTCGGGCAGGTAAGCTCGGCATGATGTGTAGATCAAGATGCACCACAGTGGGAGGAAAAAGAGGAGGAGGAGGAGGAGGTACAGCCTCCAGTCGGACTCGGTAAAACGCTTGCATCCTGACTGCAAAAAACGAAGCAACACGCTTTGGAAGGGTATCATCGGATCGACGCGGTGGGCACACATGGGCAGCATGCGGTTGCTCACCTTGAAACACACGGATGCGAGTGTGTGTATCACGCGACCCCACTCGCAAAACGCAGGTGAACACATGACACCCCGTCCGTCCCCACCCCTCCCGCCCGCCGCTCCACTGCTCCCGCTGCGACTCCACCTCCACTTCCCCTCGCGAAGAGACCGTCCCGTGCCTTCATGCCGCTCCTCGCTGCCTCCGCAGGACCTTGCCCAGATCGCGGCACGCACGCCGCGCACAGCAGGGAGGCGCGAGCAGGCCGCAGCAGGCCATCTCCTAGCGTGGGGGCTCGCGCAGGCCACGACGCGCGCGCGCAGCTCAGCTCTCTGGCGGGGGAGGCGCGAGCAGGCCCGAGCAGAAGAGCCGCTGGAGCGGCAGGGAACCCAAAGCCCTCGCGCGGACGACGCTCTGGCGCTCGTCGGTCACGAACTGGGAACTGGCTGCCTGCCTACCAGACCACCCAGAACCCAACCCGAAGACCAGAAGTTCGGGTTGGGTGGGGCACGGGCCTCATGTGTGGCTTTTCAGTGCTCCCCGACCCCACTCCACTCGAAACGGAGGGCAAATCGGGGCCTTCGGGTTGGGTTGGGGTGGTTCGGTAGGCGGTGACGAACGGGCCAGCACCGTGTGAGCTGGACCTGAGCGCGACTCCGCGGCTGAATCCGAGGCCGAGCTCGCGACCAGAACTGAATCCGATTCGTTTCCTGCCCCTGGGTCTAAGACGAGCCCGTTGCTCGGTCTGGACTGGCGCCTCGTGCGAGTCTGCACAGGGAAGGGACATCCGAGCAAGAGGGCGCAGGCCGCCCGTGCGGATGCAGGAAACTTCATGGAGCCCACAGGGTACATGCAGATGGAAAGGAGAGCAGAGACGGCAACGACGACGAGGCGGCAGCGAGGGATAGTTGGCGGCGCGCACGGGGGGGTAGGGGGAGGGGGAAGGCTTCTAGGGAGGAGGCTGCGTCGTAGAAGGCGCCCGCCTTATGTCTGTGGAGAAGGCCAGCGCCTTCTAAGAAGCAGGGGTGCTGATAAGAAGCCTTCCCCCCTCCCCCGATACTCCCCTCTGCGCGTGGCTGAGGTAAGGAGGACCGCCTCCAGGTACTTCTTCTTGCCGAGGACCAGGGGGGAGAACTTCGGGTCGAGCGGCGCCACCACCTCCCCGGCGGTCTCTCCAGAGGCGCGTCTGTCACCCTTTTGACCGACAGGAGTCCAGAATCGGCACAGGGGCATGGGAACCAGAGGGCGCCAAAATTCAAGGGGCCCAAGGACACACAAATAGATAGACACAAATCCCAGGATTCCCCGCATTGTTCCATGTTTTCTGGAAATTTGTCATTTCCCCCACCTCCCATATCTTCCCGCATTTTCCTGGGAGTTGACGGTTACTAGTGTCTGTGTATGTTCCCTCCTGAGTTCTCTAAAGGCGTGCCCTTTTGACCGACAGAAATCCACAACTGGCACAGGGGCATGGGAACCAGAGGGCGTCACATTGCCTGTCGGAGGCCGCCACACTAACAATGAGGCGATGCTTCCACGAAACGTGATACTAGAGAGTATTGCTTTGCTTTGCAAGGCTTCCACGGGGGAGTCGCAAGTTGCAACAAATGTGCGCACATGGCGCGTTTTAGCGCTGGGGGGTAGGGGGGGCGGGTCCCGGGTCTGACTACTGTTACGTCGGGCCTGTCCCCCCTACAGGGGGATTTTCGACGAAAAACAAAAAATACATAAAAACAATCCAAAAATTGTCTGGGGACTATTTCTTTTAGCAATTTTTTACATTTTGGGGGCATTTTGGGGGTATCTTTTATTTTTCGTCGAAAATCCCCCTGTAGGGGGACACGCCCGACATAAGACTACTGCCCCCCGGGGGTCCCAGAACGTGGTCCCACCTCTGGCAAGGGGGGACAGGGAGGGGTGGGCGTCCTGGCTCTGGCGCCGCCGGCCCTGGCCCCTTCCTCCTCCTCCACCTCCTCCTCCTCCTTGTCCTCCTCCTCCTCCTCCACCTCCTCCTCCTCCTCCTCCTCCTCCTCCTCCTCCTCCTTTTCCTCATCCTCCTCCTCGTTTTCCTCCTCGTCCTCCTTCTCCTCCTTTTCCTCCTCCTCCTCCTCCTCCTCCTCCTTTTCCTCCTCCTCCTCCTCACTTTCCTCTTCGTCCTCCTCCTCCTCTTCCTCCTCCTCCTCCTCCGGGCCGTGGTCCTGGCTCCCCGGCTCCCGGCCCCGGACCCGGCCGCCGGGTGCCGGGAGGGGGCCCCGGGGTCCCAGGGGAGGGCCCGCCTTCAGGGTCGGCGGCGATGGCCGCTAGTAAATACATACGTGGCGCATTTGGGTCGGCTACGCGCAAGAGTGACCCTGGGTAAGAGTGACCTTTGGTGCGCGGCTTTTTGGGGGGCCGCGGGGGGGCCAAAAGCAACCGCGCAAGACGCCTCTGCCGACTCGCGTTCGGCGATCGGGGCGCCCCAGTGGGCCCGCACCCAAGGGTCACTCCGGCGAAAACTCCCTCTTACGTCTAGTCGATTGGGTGCCGCACCCGGCCGATCCTCTGGTTAGCCGGCATGGTGCAGTCAGATTCGCCGGTCCCCCTCTGGGGGGGGGTCAGGCTGTGGTCCCTGCTGGCCTGCTGCTTTACTAGTGTTTCTGATATGTGGATATAGAATGTATGTGTGATATATATATATATATATACATATACATACATACATACATACATACATACATACATACATACATACATACATACATACATGCATACATACATACATACATACATACAAATATACATATGTATATATATAAAATATATATATATATATATAATATATATATATATATATATATATATATATATATATATATATCATTCTCTCTCTCTATCTCTCTTTCTCTCGCCCTCGCTCTATCTCTATCCCTTATTTCCTATCTCCTGTCCCCCCCAGGCAAGCTCATTTCTACCGTCGACGACGAGGGGCCACGGCGTCACTGGAACCACCAAGGGGGGATCCCTCTGCCCCCTGAGGACAAGAGGTTGCCCTTCGGATCCCCAGGAGGATGCCATCAGACAATCGGGAGGACGAGACGGAAATGGCCACACGATACGTGGAGGATCGACAGAACATGTGGCTGAAGGTTCCAATTTTGTCCTACATCCTACGTGAAGGGGGGGGTCGAAATAATGTAGGCTTTCGTTCCTGGCACCCTGGGTTCCGAAAAATTGGTCGCATTTAACATGCAACCCGATGACGAAACATGCTAGGACCCTTCCCCAGCTCCACTGCCCAGGAAGAGAAATTAGTAGATTACCCAAAACTACCTTTTCCCACGCCACGTCGGCTGGGGGCGGGCTCACAAAAAAATCGAATGGTCGAAATGCGAAACGGGTTTCCCGAAAGCTGTCGGCGGCCCCAAGCGGGTAACTTCAAACAGTATCGCAGGCGGGTGAAAGGCGAAAGGTTTTCCCGAAGTCGGCGGCGGCCCCCAGGTTGGGTCACTTCGTAAATCAGCACATATTCCCGCGTGCATCCTCGCCAGAAAGCGGATCGGGGCAACAAAGACGACGACACGTCGACGAATTGCGGATGAACCATGGGGGGGGGCGCCCGAAAATTGGACGAATTACAACTAAGTGGGAGGACTCCAAACATTCCAGTCCACCCAACCAACTGGGACCGAACGCAACCATTTGTATATGTTTTGTCCCAAAAGGTTTGTGGATGTTCTTCGAAGTTCCTTTGGGGGGTTCCTTGGAGGTCCCTTGCAAATTCATTGGGAGTTTATTGGAGGTTCCTTAGAAACTCCTTGGAGGCCCCCTACAGCTTAGCTTTGGAGGCTCCTTAGAGGCTCTTTGGAGGCTCCTTAGAGGCCCCGTAGAGGCTCCTTGGAAGTTTCCTCGGAGGCTCCTTAGAGGTTCCTTGGAGATTTCCTGGAGGATCCTTGGAGGCACCTTAGAAGTTTCCTTAGAGGCTCCTGGGAAGTTCCTTTGAAGTTTCCGTAGGTTTCCGAACCCATGGGGGTTGGGAGGGGGGGGGGCGAACGGTCACTTGGCCCAGCACCTCCGCAACCGAATCGTTCGGTCACCGCCTCCTTTCGCGCGGGCGCGGGTTCTGCCACACACTTTTATGGTCTGCGGGGCGAGAGCGAACCTCTTCCTGTTAAGAGCTAGGCGGGCTACGCACAACTCTAATTGGGGAGACAGAGCACAGGCGGGCGAGGCCTCAGGCGGCCGGAGGGCGGGCCGGGGTGCAGGCGGTGCCGAGGAGCTTGCACAAGAAAAGGTACGCCTTGGACAGGAGCCGGAGGCGAAGTCCCGGAGGGAGAGCGAAGTGGTGTTGCCGTCGACGGGGGTTCTCCCACACACCCGAGGGCGACTCTTGCGATGGCAGCGCCCCGCGCCCTCGGGGCTTCGGGGGGGCCGAAACCATGGGGAGGGGGAGGATGGCCGAGCGACTCGCTCTGCCCCGCGCAGCCGCCGCCGAGTCGTTCGGCCCCCGCCTCCGTTCTTGCGGGCGCGGGGGTATGGAAGCGTTTCGTGGCCCCGGGGGCCCCGGGGGCCCCCGAACCCATCGGGGGGAGAGCGCGACCGAACAATTCACCTTGCCCTCTGCGGCCGCCGCCGGGTCGTTCGGCCCCCGCCTCCCTTCCTGCGGGCGCGGGAGTTCCCCTGGCCCCAAAGGCGACGCTTCCAACGGAAACGCCTCGTGCCCTCGGGGGTTCGGGAGACCCCCGAACCCACGGGGAGGGGAAGCGTGGCCGAACGAGTCGCCGTGTGCTCCGCCGCCGCCGCCGAGTCGTTTTTCAGCCCTGCTCGGCCCTGCTCAACTAGAGGCATTCGGGAAGTATCCTCGGCCATACTCAGCTATCTGGGTCGATGTCGAAACTGTTTTGAGCCGCGCTAGTCCTCCAGGGACCAGTTTGGGGGCAGGAAGAAGAGGAAGAGGAGGTGGAGGAGAAGGAAGAGGAGAAGGGAGAGGAAGACTAGGAGGCGAATAAGGAGGAAAAGGAAGGGAAGGAAAACGAGGAGGAGGAAGAGGAGTAACAGAGAAGCAGGGGGAAGAAAAAGGAGGAAAACGAGGAATGCGGCAGGAGGGAGATGAGGATGCGGCAGGACGAGAAAGTCGGCGTCGCCATCCTCCCTCCTTCTTCGTCGTTCGCGTCGTCGCCGTCCTCGCTCTTCCCTCGTCGTTGTCGTCGTTGTCGCCGTCGTCGTCCTCCCTCCTCCCTCGTCGTCGTCGTCTTCGTGGGCGACGTCGTCGTCGTCGTCATCGTCGGCGTCGGCGTCGTCGTCGTCTTCGTCGTCGTCGTCGGCGCCGTCGTCGCCGCCGTCGTCGTCGTCGTCGTCGGCGTCGTCCACGTCGTCGTCGTCGTTGTCGGCGTCGTCGGCGTCGTCTTCGTCGTCATCGTCGTCGTCGCGGCATCGGCGTCGTCGTCGTCGTCACCGTAGGTGTCGTCATCGTCGTCGTCGTCGTCGTCGTCGTCGTCGGTGTCGTCATCGTCGTCATCGTCGCCAGAGACGTCGTCAGTGTCGTCGGCGTCGTCGTCGTCGGCGTCGTCGCCGTCGTCGAAATCGCTGTCGTCGTCGGCGTCGGTGCCGTTGACAAATGCAATATGGTACCTACCGTCACGGTCTTAAGAGGTTTTGCAAACCAAGTTACGGGTGGGTGGGTGGGATGTTTGCAAGAGCATGAAATGCGTCAAATCATGGGTAAAAATCAATTGCACCACTGAGATCTTCCTTTCTACAAAGAGAATTTACTCTACCCCCCCGGCTTTATCGGTCCATATGTTTGTTTGGGTTGCAGTTTACATACGATTATGCATCATCGTCCATCATAACCATGAACGCATACCATCCCAGCCCAGCAGGTTTCGACCCCCCCTAAGGCATCCACTTCAAAAAGATGGTGCGCTCACGCTCGTTTATTCAAAAAAACACAAGTTTTCAAGAGCCCCTTGCAAAAAATGACCCAGTGCACACGCGCGCGTCGTCGCGCGCATGCCGAATTACTTCAAAAACCTTCGATTTCGGACGGATGTCAAAATCGATTGCCCCCCCCCCAAAAAAAAAAAAATACTTTTAAAACATTGAAAATTGTAACCTTTCTGTTGAAATACACACATATATAAGAAACATCAAACATAAAATAACAATCAAAATGACTAATACTCATATGTATATATTATATATATATATATCTAAATAAACTGGTTTCTCCACAACTCTTTTCAACCACAAATGCGCGTTCGTGCGAATTCTTAACCAAACATCTGTTCCAACCGTTGAAAAAACTACCAAACCAGCTTCATGCGCGTGCATGACGAAATCTTTCGAACGCCTTTGCGCGCGTGCCATAGCGATGTGCCATAGCGATAAACATTCTGCAACAACAACAACAACAACAATTACTAGCACGTGGGGACACACCGTTCTCACCAGTGCCAGGGTTTTCATAGGAGGCGGGCAATACCCCCACTTTGTGGGGGGGCCGGTTCAAGCTCTACCAAATTTCCAAACGACTCTTCGCCACCACCCACACCCAGCTTCCCGCCCTATGACGTTCGGACACTTCACTTCGTGGCATGCGGACGACCGTGGCTACTATTCAGGGCCCCGCGGCCGACGACGACGGCGTGCGCGCGCGAAGAAAAAACGAATGTGTCCCGCATGGTATTATTTGACAGGGATGATGGCCCTGGCAGGTGCGCAACCGTTGTTGCAGAAGTTCGAAAAAGTTGCTCGCAAAAGCCCGTTTGACAGAAATGATTAAAAAGTGTTGGGTTTCCTACGAATCCGCAAGAGCGCGCGGGATGAAATTTTGACAATTTTTGTTTGAAAAACCATTGGTTTTTTGATGTTTTTATGTTAAAATCGCTACGAAAACTAAGGTTTTGGAAGGATTTCGTCTTGCGCGCGCGAATGTCCACTTTACCTTATTTTTTGCAAGGGATTCTTGAAGTTTGGTTATGTTAGAACAAGAAATGTCCACTTTAGCTTATTTTTTGCAAGGGAAAACCGATCGTAACAACACAACCGGATCCGGACCAACCCGTTTTGCCTGAGACTTCCTCACGAAAATGATGAAAATGAGGCTGCGGCCTAGGCGCGGCGGGGGGGTCGCGCACCAGGGGCCCCAACAATAATTATTCTTTAGAAGTAATAATGTTCAAAAACAACAACAACAAAAACGACGAAGTGCACGCATGCCGAAATCCTTCAAAAACCTTCGGTTGCGTATCGAGGTCTAAACCGAATGTCCGACAAAAACATTCAAATGCACACGGCTTCGCAACATCAGTTTTTGAAAGAAACTTGCGCGCGTTCTTGCGAATCCCACCAGCCCTCTGGGCGTCGGTGGTTTAGGGCGTTTCCTCTTCCACCCCTCCCTCTTCCCCTTCGGGGAGGGGTTTACCCCTCCCCCCCAAACGGCCCACAGAGGCCCCCCCGAGGCTCCCAAGACGCCGAAAAGCCCCTCAGGACGACCCTATACTCGCCTGGGCGTCGTTTCAGGACGGGCTGGTGGGGATACGCGAAGCGTCTAGAATTCTTAAGGAACTCATAGGTTTTCCATACTTCATGAAATTCTGCCAAAGTGGCCTCTGGAGCCGCATGCCGACATCATTCGCACGCCCTTGCGCGCGCGTTGGGGGGGCACGATCCGTGTCAAATAAAATCATGCGGGCCACTCTCGCGCGTCGGCCACGCGCGCATGTCGAACTCTGTCCAACATTTTAACCACCGAAGGACGTCATCGTCGCTGGCGTGATCAGCATCGGCGCCCGCAATGGCCACGCCGTCGTCGCTGTCAACATCGCCAACAGCATCGCTACGATCATCATCGTGTCTACCGTTGTCGACGTTGCCATGATACCGCGCCCACCCAAGTCGCCGACTCGCACTGACATGCCCGCTGGGATGCGCCTGGCGGTCAGCGCCACCGCGGGCGCGCCGGCAGCGAGAAGCTAGCTGGCCGCTGCGCGCGCGTGCTTGGGCTGGCACGGCCGCAGAGATGAACCAGCTAACGCCAAGCACTCATCGCAATCGCCACAGCATGGGTTTTGCAAACAAAGTTGCGGGTGGGTGGGTGGAATGTTTGCAAGAGCCTGGAATGAATGTGTCCACTCGTTTGTAAAAGTCAATTGCGCCGCATAGATTGCACCACATAGACTGCATTACACAGGCTGCATCGCATAAATTGCACCAAATAGTTCACACCGCATGAACTGCAAGAATCTACTGTTTGGGGTCCACGCTGGCTAAGATTTCCCATTTTGAGAGGCCCCCGAGAAACCTCCTAAGTGACCCCAACAAGCCTCTAGGAGTCTGCGGCCAAGAGACTCCACCCAGCCCCCACGAGTCCGCGGCCTTTCTCGCGCCTGCCTCCTCGTACAATCCGTCCTCCTCTCCCGCCCCCTCGCGCCTCTGTGCACTCATGTTGGACTCTTTTCAGGGTCGGCATATCGGCCGTAAGGCCTTTGCAACATTGACAAGCATGTGTCTTGTGTGTGTTGTCTGTCCCATGCGTTGCTTCCAATGCGTCCCAGACCGCTTCCAGGAGACCCCACGATGCCCAAGGAGCGAGCAACAAGGAGCGATGCTTCCCAAGAACACTTCAAGAAGACCCCAAGATGCACAAAGAGCAAGCAGCAAGGAGCGAGCAGCGATAGGCGAGGGTGCAGGACTGAGGAAGGAGGGAGAGAGGAGAGGGGAGAGAGGGAGAGGGGAAAGAACGGAGAGGGAGGGAGGGGGAGGAAGAGGAGGAGATACAAGGGAAAGGAGGGACAGGGAGGGAGAGGGAGAGGAGAGGGAGAGGGGAGAAGGGCAAGCTAGGTGCGCTCGCGTCATATCTGACGTCCTACCCCTCCCTCCCATCTCTTTCAATGGCGTAGATCGCCTCTCTGTTCGCACAGTCGGATGTCGCAGCATGGCAAAGCATTACATGGCATAGCATGGCGTTGAAGATCAACGCGTAGCATGGCCTAGCATGGCGTCGCGACGCCCCAAAGTGGGGGGAGAGGGCTTCTGCGGTCCAAAAAAGAAAAGAATCAGCACCAAATGTGTAATCACTTCCGATGGTTTTTCGGAAGCATGTTCTAGATTTGGGGGCCTATTTGGAAGGACCGAAAACCATGCCGTGGCATGGCACTGGAAAAGATGACGCCAGCGCTGCAGCGGGAGCACGATTCGGAACGAGCGGAAGCGCGGAAATGATTCCAGCGCTGCAGCGGGAGCACGATTCGGAACGAGCGGAAGCTCGAAAATGAGGCCAGCGCTTCAGCGGGAGCAACATTTCGAAAAAAACAAAGCGAAAACCCAGTTCCCAGGAATCCTGGGTGAAAAAACCATACGCGGAGGGGGGTCGGATATCTTCCAAACGTCATCAGCGGAGAGAGGAGAGCAGAATTCAGACTGTGTAATTGTGGAAGGAGGGAGAAGAGAACGGGGAGGGGAGATATTAATCAATCGGAGGAGCGAAGATGGATGCGCCAGAAGCAGGCAGGAAGACAGAAGGAAAGCGTAGCGTAGAGGGAGGAGGGAAGACGGAGGGAAGAAGAGCGAGGAGGGCGGAGAGAGGAGGGAAGAGCGCCAAGGGAGGAAAGATGAACGAGAATTAAGGCAGGAGGAAAGAAATGTGGAGAGGATGGAGGAGAACGAGGGGAGAGAGGAAGGAGGAGCAGAAGCAGGGCAGCACAATCGCCAGCGGATGAGGACGACGAGGGCGCGATACGCCCCCGCGCCGCCTTGGGCTTCACCAGGAGGTACTTCCGGGCAGCCGGGGGCATGCCTACGGCGGGGCGCGGATCACCAGAGCCGGCTGGAGAGAGGAGGAGCGGGACTGGCTGGAGGAGCGTGCAGGGAGACCCGAGAAGCGAGCAGGGAGAGGGGACTAGAGGTGGCGAGGGGGGGGGGAAGAGGAACAGCGAGAATGCAGGCGTCGACGCAGGGCAGGGTCTCCCTCGTCGGGCACGGAGGCGCAGCAGCGAAGGGAAAGATGAACGCGAGCGTCAGATGCGCACTGTATAGCACCAGTCTTGTGCACAACAAGTGTTCCCGTCAGGCGGAGACTTGCGCCCGCGACCGCAAGATGGTACAGGGCTGTTTTTAATACATTGGATTTCTGAACAAATATGATTTGTATTACATTAATGTACGAATAAAATTATGCATGAACTCATCGTGGTTTTTAATACTAATTCCCTGCGTTTTTGATACACGATCCGCACGCGGAGCATGTCTTGAAAGCGGCACTGTACGGCGGGAAGGCACGGGGGCAGCCGACTGAGAGAAGGACATGGCACACAGAGGAGGAGCCCGCGCGTGCGCAGGCGTGCCGCGCTGTGCCCGCGGCCCCTCGCACTATTTCCCTGAGTGAAGGGGCCCTGGGACACACAAATAAATGCACACACATAAAAGAATTCCCCATATTTTCTCATATGTTCTGGGTTTTCGTCTTCCCCCCCACTTCCCATATCTGTCCATATTTTCTTGGGGAGTCGTCGATTAATTGTGTCTGTGTGCTTTTACCCCTCCTGAAACATGCATCAACGGCCCAAGGAAGCATAAACCTGATGTGTTGCATACGCTGCTCCTGAGGGCAGTGGAAGCGTAGACGCAGAATACCTGCGAGTAAAGACGCGCTGCCTTCGGCGCAAAGTGAATTGCTCAAAGCTTGGTGTGCCTTGTTATGATTTGGAACGTGAAGCTCGGGGCTGGAGTTCGAAATGGGCAGGCGCTCGGCTGAAGCTGGAGCTGGACCTGGACCTGGAGCTAGATGTCGAGCTGGAACAGGAGCTGGGGCTTGAGCTGCGGCTGGAGCTGCGGCTGGAGCTGGAGCGACGCTTGACCGAAGCTGGGAGCCGGAAGTGGGGCTGGAGCTGAACCAGAGCTGACGCTGAACTTGGACCTAGGGCTCGAAATGGAGCTGAGACTGGGGCTGGAACTGGGGCTGGAGCTGGAGCTGGAGCTGGAGCTGGGGCTGGAACGAAGCTGCAGCTGAGGCTGGAGCTGGAGCTGGAGCGAGGCTGGGACTCGAACTGGAACTGGAGCTGGCCTGGATCTGGAGCTGGGGCTGCCGCTGGAGTCGAGGCTGGAGCTGGGCCGGAGCGAAGCTAGTGCTGGAGCTGAAACCGGAGCTGGTCCTGAGCTGGAGCGAAGCTTGGGATGGAGCGAAGCTGGGCTGGGGCCAGGGATTTGTTGGAGTGGAGCTGGAGCTGCGGTTCTGGCTGAATCTGGAGCCGGGCAGGAGCTGGGGCTGGAGCCGGACCCGGTGGTGGATCTGGGCCTCGAACAAAGCTGGACCTGGAGCTGGAGGTACAGGGCAGTTTTCAATACAGAGGATTGTTCAAAATATTTGATCTTTAATACATGATCAATTTATGAATACATGTATACATGAACTCATCGTTGTTTTTGATACTAAGTCCCTGCATTTTTGTATACATGATCCGTACGCGGAGCATGTATTCAAAACGGCACTGTATGGAAACACGCCGTTCCCGCCGACTGAGAAGGCTGCACACAACGATGATCACAAGCAAAATCCAGATTAGGGTTCTGAGCAACACAGTGTTGCGACCGGCTGCCAGGGTTGTGCACGGGCCTTTCTGGCAACACGATGTTGCGACTGGCTGCCAGGGCTGTACCCAACTCATCAGAATCAGGTCCAGGAGCGGAGTTCTGGCAGCACCAGGAGGCTGGCCTCGACACCGGCCCAGCCCCGACCCTTAGCAACTGGTGCGAAAATTCCAGGGCAAGCCAGAATGAGAAGGGAAGAGTAATATTAGGCGAAGACGCGTTCACTCCCCGCTGGTTCCCTCAGTCTTCAAGCACAACGCGAGTTGCAATGACATTGCAAAATATTATGCTAAGAGTATGCCCGACTAAAGTTGAGAAAAATGTCGGGATGAAGCTCGTTGAAAAAAAACAGGCGGAAGGGCTGGGTCCTGCATGGGCCGTCGTCGCCTATCGTGCAAGCAAGCCCAGGGCGTCACGTAGCACAAGCGATGTGGAACGTCGAAGAATCGCTGCAAGCAGCACCATGGGAGGGGAGGAGGGGGATGAGGAGGAGGAGGAGGAGGAGGAGGAGGAGGAGAAGGAAAAGGAGGAGGAGCAAAAGGAGGAGAAGGAGGAAGAGGAGGAAGAAGGAGGGTGGAGGGAGGAGGGAGGAGGGAAGAGTGGTTAGTGAGAGTGAGCATGCTCGTGTTACTACAGGCTATCGCGGTGCAGTTGCATGCGTTGGTGGGAAGGGGGGAGAGAGGAGGGAGCAGTTAGGAGAGAGGAGGA